GCCAGCTCCAGACCCCGCTTTGGGGTGGGGAGCAGCTGGGAGCTGCATGCTCAGCGCGAGAATCGCCTTATAAGGCCAGGACGAGCCAGTTCCAGCCTCCTGCTTCACTCCGGCACTCGCTCCCCGGGCGGGCGCCCATGGGGACGGGGACACGGAGGGGACCCGTGACCCCAAAGCGATGCCCAGGGTGCTCCGCGGTGCCGGTGCTGCCCTCGGCACTGGGTGGGAGAGGAGCCCGAGGGTGCTGGCGGCCAGCTCGCGGCCTCGCTCCGTGTTTAGACTCGCTGTCGGTGGACGTAAACACCGGTTCGGCTGAAAAGCGGCCCCTGGCTGAACTCTTCCTGCCCAGCCCCTGCGCTGCGCCCCCTCCCCAAACTGCTCCGGGGGGAAGAAAATTCCTTCCCCCTGGCGAAAGCGGCGATGGAATTGTTTTATCTCCTGGTGGAGGCTTCGGGGGGGCTCTGGAGGGGCCCGGTATGCAGGGACAGGCGTGCAAGGGGCTCACACGCATCCTTGGAGCCTTCAGCCGGTTCCTTGGGGGGTGACCTGGGGTCCTGGGGAGCTCCTCCGGCAAAATGCATTTCAGGAGCTGGCTGTCGGCATCCGTGATGAACAAACGGGGGCTGCCAGTGAGTGATGGGGCTGGTGGGAAGCAGCTCAGTGCTTTTCCGAATGGGATGGCACAGTAACAACGTCCTTCCCTATTGCCTGGTGCATTCCCTGGAAAACCGGAGGTTTCTCAGCAGCTTCCCTGAGCAATGTCTGCCGATCCAGGCAGGCTGCAGGTGAGGAAGGTGCTCAGGTGGCTGCAAAAAGATCCCCCCCTGCCTGCTGGCATGGTGCGGGGAGAGGAGAGAGCTGCTGGGGGTTAGCAGAGGATGGGGAGCGCTCCCACTCGTGGGGAGGTGCAGAGGGAGAGCCCAACCTTCACTCCCCTTTGATGGGCGACTGCTCCATCCATCCTTTCTTTCTCAGAGCTTGCCGAGGTCGTTTTCAAGCTCCTTTGTCTAAATCCCGCTTGCTTGACCTGCCAGATGATCTATAAGTGTAATAAAATCCGCCCGCGGCACAGCTCCGGTCGCGCTGAGGCCGTATCGATAGCTCTGTGCCTAGTGGCAGGATGCCTACAGCGCTCATTAAAACCCTGCTCATTAACGTCCCAGCCCTGCTCAAGCAGCACCAGGACACCGGTGACTGAACGTCCCAGGGGCAGGCAGTGCATCCAGCCCCAGATCAGCAATCCCACTCTCTCCCCACCCCGAGCACGAGGCCAGGCACCAGGCACGGGCGATGCTTTTAGCAGCTCCCCGTGGGGAGCGCGCTGCTCGGCAGCCACCCTCATGAATATTTCAGCTCGGAGAAGGAACATTTGTCAAGAAGCATTTATGGAGGCGGCCTGGATGGTTCTTCCCTAGGCGTGCCCGGCTCGCTGCTCATCTGGGGCAGCTCTGGGAGCCCGGGCAGAGCAAACCCACACCCGAGCCCTTCCCCGTGCAGCACCCGGGTGCCAAGGCAACCGGCTCGCCATGCGAGATAGACAAATGGTGTTTTTTTTTTCTTTAATTTTCCTTTTTTTCTTTTTTTCTTTTTCCCTCCTAGTTCTTGGCAGAAAGTAAAATGTCCCTTTTGTTTGGTTTCCTCCTCCCCCTGCCCCATCGCCTTTCTTTAAAGGTTGTGCTCCAGATTTCATCCAGGCGCGTTGTGTAACGGCCACGGGCCCTGTGCCCCCGAGGCACAGCCGGTCCCCGGGAGCTTGACCAGGGGGTTACCTGCTCCAAAAATGTCTTGTGTGCAGGTGCTGAGCGAACCTCTGGTACCCAGATTTGACATTTTGGGGTGCCAGGGGATCACTCAGGACCATGGCCCACCCCAATGAATCCCCGAGCAGCGAGCAAAGCTGCTTGGATCGCCCCCTCTGAAGCGCAGAACTGGGGGCGCTTTATCCCTTTCCCCTCGGCTCTGACGTTTCTGGTTTTCAGAGAAGATGGAGCTGCGTCAGGAAATGATTCACAGCTCAGGGGAGGCGGGGAGCAGACGCCTCCAAAAGTCCCCGAGCCTCGTCCCATCCCTGGGGGCTGCTGGCGTTATGGAGGGCACGGCGCAGCGGGGCCGGCATCCCGGGTACCTGAGAAGGCAGAAGCGAGCCTTGTAGGTTTTGTGCTGGTATCGAGGGGGACGCAGCCAACACTTGCGTGTGTAAATCGGGATCTGTCATACCCCAGGGAAACGGCGCTGCGATCGTTTCTTGGCGCCGGGTCCCCTGCTGATATTGGCAGCGCCGAGCTGTGGCTGCTCATCCGGCGCTGCGAACTGCTCCGCTCACGCCTGGGCTGCTGCTCACCCTGCTTGGGTGGGGGCTTCCACCCCAGCCTCGAGTTTTCCCCATTAAAAAGCACCCACCAGGCACTGGAAGGGGGTAGCCTGTGCCCTCCATCCCGTTTTTGGCAACTGGGAGGTGCAAAATCAAGGCCAGCACCTGGGGACGGGGCTGTCCCCGAGGTGGGGACCGGCAGAAGCCGGGTGTCTGCTCCTGCCTCACCCCGGTGCAAAGCTTCCCGTGGCCCCGGGGTCAGGCCCAGCACTGCAGGCGGGCGCTCAGCCTTATATCAAAGCCTCTCTGCTCTTCAAAGGGCTGCTTGAACTCCCTGCCTTGTTATTGTTTTGGTGCCTGCGCTGAGCAACACCTCCCTCCTCCTGCATTTCGTTATTGCCTTCCACTTGCCGGGGCCACGCAGCCCTGCCCTGGCCCCGGCAGCAGCTCAGGGCCCCTCTGGGGAGCCCCGCTGGGTTTTTGGGTGCTCCCCAGGGAGCTGCGTCCTCGCCCCGGGGGGGCTGCGTCCCAGCCTTTGGCTTGTGCTTGTGCGTGCTTCCACCTCGCAGCATTTGCATCTCGCCCTGGCTTCAAAGCGCCTTGCGTTGGCTGCAAGGAAGGAAATAAAGAGATGTAAAGGGATTTAAATCCCTCCCGAGCGAGGCTGCTCGTCCGTCAGGTTTCAGCTCCTGCCCAGGGGTGTTGGGGGTGGCTGGTTTGGCCACGGTGCCTTTCCTCTCCCCAGCTGTGGGTGATGGGGTGCCCTTCTTGGTGACCCTGTTCTGGAGCTCTAAGTGAGATTTTGGATGAGCACTGGTGCAAATCTGGCTGTCACAAGGAGGGATGCGTGGCAAAACCACTTCCCAACCAGACTGGTGGAGGGGGGAGCCCGAAACTGGCTTCTCTGCTGCGGGCGAGCTCAGGTTGGGGCTGGACGCGAGCCGTGGGGAAGCTGCCCAGGGGTTTGGGAAGGAGGAGGGCAGGCGAGGTTTGCAGGGAGCCTGTGCTCAATTTGGATGTGCCAAATCCATGCCAGGTACCTGCGGGGCCTCCCGGGGATTTGAGGGGTGCACGAGGCAGCAGGGAGCGAGTCAGCATCCTACAGTGCTCATAGGGCTCCCTCGTGGAGCCACCCTCAGCCCCTTTCCCCCCGTCCTGGCTGTGCTTCCCGGTGCACAAAGGCCGTGGGTGGGGAAGGGGTCAGACCCACACGGCCGGCCAGAGTTCATGGTCCTGGAGGCCTTGGCACAGCCAATGGCTGGGGAGACAAAAACGTTTCCAAGGCTCCGCTTGGAGCCGGAGAAAGTTTTTCCGTAGGGTTTTTATAGCTACCGGAAAGCGGGGTTTTATTTTTGTTGTCTAAGACAAAAAATCCTCTTAGGAGTTGACTTCCCGTGGCAGCGAGCGGGGAGGGCTGCACTCGAGGCGTGTGGGGCTGCGCTGGGCTTTTCTTCCCCTTCTCCCCGCGGGGTCTGCGGACGCTGGTGCTGGTTTTTATGAAGAAAAAGAGGTTTTGGGGTCCCTGGTGTAAGGCTGGTCCCGTCAGTGTGCCTGCACCGACACCGCAGCATCCCCGACAGCTCCCTGCGTGGGATGCTCACGCTCTCTCCTTGGTTTGTTTGGGGGCACAGCTGTAGGGAAAGCTTTTTTCCTGGGGGAAGGGGGATATTTCCCACCTCCGCACATGGCATAACCAGGGGACCTCGGGGGGCTGAACTGAATTTCCTGGGGTCACAGGCTGGGGCCGTCGCAGCTCTCCCCGCTTGCCTCTCCTTTGCACGCCGCAGGCTGTTTTGGAGGTGGTTTGCTGGCAGGGGAGCCCGTTTCCATGGGAGAAATCTTCACAACGCCTGCCAAAAAGCCGTCTCCCCGTTGGCCTGGCCATCTGGAGGGCGAGAGGAGGCTTTGCTGGGGCGAGGAGCTGGTGCCGGGTGCTCCTTTGGTGCCATTTGTGCAACTCGGAGAGGTCCCTGCCCGGCTCCTTTATGCCTCAGTGTGGGTTTGTGCCGGTCCCCGGTGAGCTGGCGTGCCACGGGGGGACCCCAGTGTCACCGTGCCCTGCTGGCAGGACACGCAGCAGGCTGGGGATGGGGATGACGGGGACGTGGCATCGCCGCTGTAATCGGATGAGCCGCTGCTGCTCCAGATGGAGCCGTCAGCTCTCGTCAGCGCTGACACCTCACTGGGTCCCTCGGCGTCCCTGGGGGACCAGGAGGTGACACCGTGCTTGCAGAACCTATCGTGGGGTCCCTGCTGTGCCTCTGCCCGATGAAAAAGCAGATTTGTGCCCTCTTCCCCTCCCTGCTCCCCTCGGCTCGGCCTCTTCCAGTGAAGATCAGGCCCGGAGCAGTGCGGGTACGCAGCGGGGAGCATCGTGGTGCCCGTGCCACTCCTTTTATCCCTTTTGGGCACCCCCTGGAAGTGATCACCTCGTGCTGGTGTTGGGCTTGCAGCCCTGGGGCTGAGAGAGGAGCATCCCCTTGGGAAGGGGGAGGACGTCAGGGTGGAAATAACGCTCCCTGCTATCGCACAGCTCCTGGGATGAGCAGTTTGCAAACCCTTTGCCGTGTGCCAGCGTGGTGCAGGATGGGTCTGAGCATCGTGGGCAGAGCATCGGGGTGTTTAGGGCGAGCGCCGTGCCCATCTGCCCCTCTCTCCTTACGCGTTCTCCTTTCTCCTTCCCCTACAGCCCACGACCCTCCCGCAGGGCACCATCAACATGAACCAGTGCACGGACGTGGTGGACGGGGAGAGCCGGACAGGGCAGAAATTCTCCTTGTGCATCCTGACGCCGGAGAAGGAGCACTTCATCCGGGCTGAGAACAAGGAGATCATCAGCGGGTGAGTGCAGCTCCGGGGCCCAACCAGCTGGGAGGAAGAGGAGGGCAGGGAGCACAGCCCCATGCGTTGGATGCGCCAGCAGGGACCACCCCGGGGCTGTAATTGCTGCCTCGGGGATTGCCTCGGTGTTGGATGGTGACCTGGAAACATCTTTTTCCTTCTCCTTCCCGTCCTTCCCGAGGCATGGCACCTCCTCCGTGCCAGGCTGGTGCTTCCTGCTGAGATATTTCTATTTCCAAGCGCCTCTGCGGGTTGCGCCTCCCCCGTTTTCAAAGCTTAAAGAGGCATTTTCCTGCCAGGAGCTTGGGATTTGGCTCAGAGGGGTGTTTTCATGGGTCAAAACTGCCCTGATCTACCAAGACCAGTGGGTATGGGTGACTCTGGCTCTGCGCACGATGTGCAGCAGTGAGGACAGAGACACCAGGGGAACACGGCACAGGGGGCTGGCACAGCTCCTCTCCTCCAGCCGAGGAGGGTGCTGTGCTTGTGCCCCAAAAGCTGGCGCTCCCCCGGCTCCCTTCTCCCTCTCCCCACGCTCCCCTTTGCAGCTCAGCCTTTGTTCCCGGCCCTGCCAGCGGCGCGAGGGGAGAGGCATTGCAGAGCAAGGTGGGGCTGATTTATTGTTCGCTGGCCCAGCGCTGGATTTCGAAGCAGCGCGTTTTGCTCCTGACTGCAAGCATTAATCATCCCGCAGCAGTCCCGCTCTGGGCCCGAGCCAGGCGGGTTTCATTTGCAGTTGCAGCACGACAGGAAGATTTCCCCGGCTCGGGGAGAATTTGTTTTACGTTTGTTGCATGCTTCTGGCATTTATTGCTTAACCAAAACCCACTTGATGTGGTCATCTCAAAGCGCTTTACAGCAGCAGCGTGCGAAGTGGGAGGAACAGGAGGGCAAGGCACGGAAATCTCAAGCACGAGCCTTTTCCAGCGGTCGGCGGAGCCTCTCCGAGCGCACGGGGATGGAGGGGGCAGCCCGTGGGAAGGCATGGGAGGGTGCCCCGAACGAGAGGCTCGTGCATGGGATGGGCTTCTCCCTGCCAAGTTCACGCTGCTCTTTCTCAGACAAAAGCTCATTGTTAGCGCCTCTGAAGGGAGAGGGTCCTGCCAGAGGCTCTGTCCCTCCTCCCCTCGCTCGGCAGCTCTCTGCTGGCTTTTAGGATCTTTGAATCCCTGCCCGCTGCCACCCTTGCCCACGACCTCTCTCCCTCGCATTGAGCCGAAGCACCCTGGAGTTGTTCCCTGTCCCTCCTTTCCTCCTGGCTTGCCTCGGGAGCTTTTTTCCCCCAGGCACTGGCTGGGAGGATTTGGGGGCACCGTGGTACCCCCCGACCAGCTTGGAGAGGCTGAGCTCCTCCTGCGTGCAAGAGGAGGGAACATTTATGGCCAGTTTGGGGGAAAATTATGGCCATGATTACCAACCTCTGGACACGGGGGTTTGGGGTGAGCGCTGTCTCCGGAGGGAGCGAGCCCTTGGCTTGCAGGCAGCCTGCCCTCGAGGCAGATGGGGCCGTGTCTGTGTGACCTGCTCAGAGCCCCCAGCAGTGGGATCAGCTTTGGGGTCTGTCTGCAGCTGCCCTACACCCCGAGCGCTGCCATCCCTGTGGCACAGACCTCACCCGCTGCTTGTTCTTCCCCCGCAGGTGGCTGGAGATGCTGATCGTGTACCCCAGGACCAACAAGCAGAACCAGAAGAAGAAGAGGAAGGTAGAGCCCCCAACTCCTCAGGTAACCCCGGGGGGACACACCGTGGCTTGGGACCACAACTCTGAGCACCGACACCCCCCAAAACCATCGGGGTGGCCGCGGTCTCCTCGCCCCAGCCCTGCACGTGCTGTCCCAAATCCACGAGGTCCCGAGGGGGGAGCCAGGAGAGGTGCTGGCCACTCGCGGGCCTCTTCGGCAGAAGCAGGACGAAATTCCAGCGGGCTCCGGTTACCCCCTTGGAGATGACCCCGGAGATAATGGGAACGAAAGGAAAATAGTTAAAGGCCAGGGCCAGGCTGGGAGCTCCGGGGGCCGGAGCTGAGCTCTCCAGGGACCCGGCGATGGCTTCGCCTTCATTTTGACTATAAATGGTAAAAACCGGGGCCGGCCGTGACTCACTCGTTCCTGCCGGGCTCCCACGTGGCCGGACTGGGGGAGAATCCCACAGATTGGGAACGTGACCCCGAGGCCGAGCTCATCCCTCGCCGGGGCTGAGAACAGACCTCCGGGTGCGCGTCCCGTTGCCGCAGGGACCGGCTGGGACGGCTCCTCCGGGCGAGCCAGGGTGAGGGTCCCGAGGAGTGAAAGTCACTTTTGGGGTCCCCCGAGCCCCATTTTTCCTGTCCCCTCCTCTTTAGTGATGTCCCCAGGATGGTGCCGAGCAGGCTGTGGGTGTCTGCATTGGGTTTCCACCCCTCCACTGACTCTAATCAACGGGAACCAAAAAAAAAAGATAATAACGGGGCGAGGTGATGCTTTTTTTGCACGCCCTGCTGGAAATCCGAGCTGCCCCCTGCAAGGGGATGGGGTCAGCACGGCCTCTCGAGCACCAGGGATGCTGCAGGGGCGATGCCACCTCCGTGGCCACGAGCTGGCACGTTACAAGTGCCTGGCCTCCATCCCAGGGGGGCTGCTGCATTTGGGGCACCCCAACAAGCTGGCACAGCAGGGCAGGGCACGCAGCCTGCCGTGGAGCTCGGTGCAGCCCTAAACCCAGGCAGGGTTTGGGAAAGGGGGACGGGGAAGGGGGAGGAGGAGGAGAAAGGGGCGAGGAGCCAGCAAAACATCATTCTGGGTTACATTTTATCGCCATGGCAACTTCTTGGAAACCTTACAGGATCGGAGCTGCCGAGCACCAAATAAGGGAAGCGGCTGCGGGGAGGACGCTGGCTCCCCACGCACGCAGCCGTGCACCCCAGGTGCTTGGGGACAGGGTGAGCGGGGAGCCTGGTGGCCCTTTTCCCCCCTTGGTTCGGGGCACAGCATCTCGGGGGAGTTTTTTCTCCTCCAGGAGGGTGCAGGATGCTGTGCCCTGCGCCCTATCCCTTTTGCCGCCCTCCTTCCACCCTCTCCATCAGGGTGGAAGCCCCGCGACAGCACCAGTAATCCTGGAAAAAAGCTGAAATTCACTTTGCAAATCCAACCTCTGCATGGGACTCTCCGCTGGCTGGGTGCTGCGCTGCTTCAGGCACTCACAGGCAACCCACAAAGCCAGAAGGAAAACGCACAAGCACCTTTGGGTGTTTTGGGGGGAGAACCAGCAGCACCCTCCGTGGAATGGCCTCTCCTGGAGCTGGCTGCCGTTCAGGTCCCTCTCCGTGTGCCGGTGCAGAAGGGCTGGTTTCTTTCTAAAGAACATTGCTCCAAGAGCTGTTCTTCGGGCAGGGGTCGCCAGATGCAATCCCGGAGGTGTTTTCACCTTTGCTTTGCAAGCAGCTTGAGGGTTTAGGAGAAATGAAGTTCCTCTTGCAGTTCGCCCCGGCAGCGTGGTGCAGGGAGAGAGCGCGCTGCCGTGCCTGAGTGCTCCCTGTTCCTGGGGAATGGAGGCGTTATCTGGGGCTGAAATCTGGGATTTGAGGTGCCCTCCTTCAGGCCTGGTTTGCAGTAGGGTGCACGAGGCTCACATGCCAGAGTTAATGCAGCTGGAGGGCGGTTTGGATGATTTTGGTGCCTGCTCCTTTGGTAAGCCGTTCGTTCCAAGTGGTGAAGGGTTAATTGCTCTGCTTGTTTATAGAGCGCCTTCTGGCCCTCGTTTCTGTGTTTAATTAAATACATATCTCCAGATAATGATACGGGGGTGGATGGAAGGAATATATAGAAGTATAGATCCGACGCTGGCACTTGGCTTTAGGCTTTGGATCAATGAATTCGAGAGTTTCAGAGGCTGGAGGGGACCTCGGAGCTCAGTCCGGTTGCCCTCTGGATCGTTTACCTCCGACGTCACATTCCTTTAGGATGAAATTTCCAAGGGGATTTTTTTTAAAAACAGAGGTCATTTGTGGCTCGTGGAGCGGGTGCCTGTGCTCAGAGGCAGGAGCTGGTCCCTGGGAGGTGCCCGCAGCATCTCCGCCTGGAGGCACAGCGCTGCAACCCACCGGGGGCTCTGCTGACAGCAGGGAGGTGATGATTTTATGCTGTTTGTAGCCCCTAAAAGCACTCCTGTCCCCAGCCCCTGGCTCCTGGCTCGGTGTTCCCACACTCCTGGGTTTCCCCCCGGTGTGCTGAAAGGGAAGAAACAGCCGGGAAACTTTCTGCAACCCGGGGACCGTGGAGGGGGGTTAATTGTCATTGATTTATTGACAGCTTTAAAGAAAATAACCCGGTAACGCAGAAGCTTAATAGGACAGCAGCAAAACATCTGCTAACGAACAAAGCCAAACCCGAAACGAGTTGTGAAAGCTGCTGCCTCTCCTGGGGCATGGATCGAACCTGGGCTGCCGTGGCCGTGGTCGCAGGGAGCCACCAGCACGAGCTGCTGCAGGCACCCACCCCAAATGGCATCGCCATCCAAACCCTTCCTGGCCTGTGATGCTTCTAAAATGATGGCTATTGTTTTAAAATAACGTAAATCTTGATGCAGTGCCCTATTTCCCTTTTGAAAAGAAGTGTCCTTTTACATAGCCAAAGCACCCGGGAGGAATACAGTGCTGGACGGTTTCTATGCTTTTTATCAATGGCCCATAACAAACCAGTTGTGACAAATTAACGATGCAGCTGCTAGTGGCAGGGAATTAATTTTCTTCCCCGTCCAATATCCTTTAGCTTGATTTCTATTTTTTTTTTTTTGACATTACTTATAACACTGAGCAAATTCGGTCCTGGCAAATGGGACCTGGGAGAGAAGCCCGGCGCTGCTGTGTGCTGGGGAAGGCAGCGGCTGCCTGCAGCAGGACCGGGGGCTTATGAGGGGAAATAGGGGATGCTGTGCCTTATGTCCTTCAATTACCAAGGGTATACTGTCCCCCAGAACTGCGAATGTGGAGGAAAAGGGCAGGGATCAAAAGCAATGAGGGCTTTTGGAAATAGCTGCTGTGTTGGAGCTTTAGTAAAGCTGCTCAGAGTGTCCCCGACCCGTAGCAAGATGACTTCTCCCAGGAGCTGTGTGGCCCTGTCCTGTCCCCGTCATTGTGTCACGTCGTGCGTCGTGGGCTGGGGTGAAGCCCTCTAACCCCGTTGTGCCCCCTTTTTTTCTTTAGGAGCCCGGTCCTGCTAAGATGGCCGTGACCAGCAGCAGCATCCCCAGCGCGGAGAAGGTCCCTGCCACCAAGTCCACGCTTTGGCAGGAAGAAATGAGGGGCAAAGACCAAGCGGACGGGGCTGGCGGCATCAGCCTGGCGCAGAGCCCCGTGCAAGGGCAAGCAGGGGCTGCCGGCTCCCTGAAGGATCCTGTGTTGGACAGCAAAGAAGGTGAGGGCCAGGCTGGGTGACATGAGTGTCCTCGCACCCCTGTGTCACAGCACCGGGCAGGGGGAGGACGGGGAGCTGATGCTGCAGGGGCTGATGTCTGTGGTTTTGGCAAAAGCAGCGGTTTTTGGAAGCGCTTTGGTGCTGGGAAGGTGCCGGAGCTGTGGCACAGGGTGCCCAGAGGTTGTGGAGATCCTTGGGGTTCTCCAAAAGCAGCCTGGATGTGGTGCTGGGCACCCTGCTCCGGGTGGCCCTGCTGGGGCAGGATTGGAGCAGGGGAACCCAGAGATCCCTGCCAGCCTCAGCCCTTCTGGGATTTTGGGATTGTGAGGCCAGGATCGTGTCCTGGCCGTGTGAGCGAGCTCTACACGAAGCTCACCGAGACAAACTTTGAACACCTAAATGACACCTGGCTGTGAGGTGCTGCCTGGCCTCGTGCTGGGAGGAAAACAAGGGGGAAAAATGCCTTTTATAGCACCTCTGCCACCCCCCCGGGGGAACCCACGGGCTGTGGGGGCCGTGCTGGCTCAGCCCCACCGCTGGGGCTGCCAAACCCTGAGCGCTGCTTCCTCATCCGGCCCCTGCACCAGGGCTGCTGTTTATATTTGGGCTCCCTGATTAGGCCAGGGAAGGCGCCCAGGGCCACGGCATTGTTCTCCCTGAAACAATAGGGGCTGGGGATTTTTCCTGCCCCGGGCTGAGGAGAAGTTTCCTTTATCTGCACCACGGGGCTGCCTTCCTCCCTCCTGCGCCCCGGTGCGAGGAGCCGTGCGTCCGTGTTTGCCTTGGAGCTGGGGCTGCTGCTTGGAGAGGGGCAGAGGTGGAAATGGCTGTAGGCACTCACAAAACTTCCCCGGAAAAGTTTTCTCTGCTTATATGCAGCCTGCTTGGTTTCCTCGAAGCAAAAAGCACGCAGAAGTGTGAGAATTCACACCTCTCCTGTGGTTTTTAATGGGGCAGAGTGTGAATGTGCACGCTGTCCTCTCCTGGTGACACTGCACCCACAGCACCGGGACCCCACAAACCTTTGGGGTGTCCCCGGGGATCCCCTGCTCCCTGCAGAGCATCTCCCCTTCCACGTGGGCCATGAAGGGTGGTCAGGGTGGGAGAGCCCAGGGTGCCAAGGGGCTCAGCATGGGGCTGGGGCGCAGAGCGTCCCTGCTCTCATTTCCTGCACTGTTCCTGCCTGGAATCGGGGCAGTTTCTGTTCAAAGCAGAGCTCAGGCTTGAAACCAAATGGACTTTTCTGCCCCTTCAGATGAGAGCTCCATGAACGGAGACCGGATAGACTGTGGGCGGAAGACGCGTGTCGAGAGCGGTTACTTCTCCTTGGAGAAGACCAAGCAAGACTCGAAGCTGGAAGAGCAGCAGCTGCCGCCCCCACCGAGCCCTCCCAGCCCCAGCACCCCGAACAACAGGTACAGTTATCCCAAATCGCCCTCGCAGGAGCATGCCCGGCCCTTTCCTTCCCCAGGTACCCGATCAGGCGACCGAATGATTCACAGCTTCTCTCTGAACTCCTTGGACTCGAAGAGCAGTTGCCCCATGCACAAGGACTCCGGCAGCAGAGATGTAGGAAGGGGAGCTGAAAAATCGGGGCGTCCCCTTTCTTTTAAAGCCAGCCGGCAGTACACCACCCTGGCCGACGTTCCCAAGGCCATTAGGATCAGTAATCGGGAGGCCTTCCAGGTGGAGAGGAAGCGGCTAGAGCGGAGAACCCGGGCGCGTAGCCCTGGGAGAGAAGAAGTGGCCCGGCTCTTTGGCAATGAGCGAAGGTAAGGGACGGGGGGCTCGCCTCCTCCTTGCATGCTTGCAGCGCTGATAAATTTTGGTCTCGCCCACCCTGCTGCAGCCCCGGACACGACGTGAAGCCCCTTTGCCTCGCAGCACTCGGGGCACCTTCTCCGTGTCCCCTCCCCGGCACAGCACGGGGCGGGCAGCTGGCACCATTAATTAGGTTAGCTCTCCAAACGGGCGTTAGAGCCCGGGTGCATTACGCAACTGCCTAATGAGCTGAGAGAGGTTTCAAAATGTCAGGGCAGTAATCTGGGAGAGGGGAGCCGGGCGCAGCGGGCTGCAAAACAGCTTAGTGCAAACGAGGGCGGGGAGGGTGTCCTGCGGGCGCGCGGGCACGGCGCAGGCGCGCTCGGCTCTCCCTGGGCGAGGCGAGGGACGGGCTTGGCTCGCCCTGGGAGAGACGTTTTTTGTGCAACGAGGGCAGCAGAGCAAACCGGGAGACGGGCCCCGGGCGAGAGGGCTATCTGCCAGTCTGATTTTCTTGCCCTGATTTTCCTCTGGGCACGTTCTCTCTCGGCGTGGTTTCGGCAGCTCGTTTCTTCACAGCCCCGAAGGATTGTTTTCCAGCCTGGCACCCAGCAGCTGGGGGCGGCTGTGGGAGCGTGGCTCTGTGCCCATGCCGGGGTCAGCAGCAGGATCCTGCCCCTACTGAACCCATCCTGGCAGCGCACGCAGCTGGGGATGGAGGAGCAGGGCACGGGTCTGGCTTTCTCCCTGCCTCTGGAGTCCGGTCCCTTGGGAACGGAGGAGAAGGATGCCATGGGGGTCCCCTGGCCACCCCAGCTGGGGATAGGGTTGGAAAGAAGCTGGTAGCTGCTGCTTGGCAAAGCTGCACTGCGTTGGTCCAGGCATGGGTGGCATTGGAGCCCTGCTGGGTTGCTTACACGGGGCACCCCGGGGAGCTGGGATGTGCCAGCCGAGGGCAGAGAGGAGCAGAGATGTGCATGCAGGAGAGGACGCAGCTGCCACGGACTGCTCGTTTTTAACGCCAGCCCCACTCGTTTCCTGCTGGCAGGTGCCTTTTCCTAGGGAAGTTCTGTTTATCCCAGCCCAGCTGGGCTCCTGGGGCTGTGAGCAGGATTTGCTGTATCAGAACGGGCAGAATTTCTCCTCTTTAGCAGAGCCGTGCCAGTGCAGGGAGAGGAGCAGGCACCGGGGTCTTGTGCCCACGAGGCTGAGTGGGGTACAGCATGGGGCGCAGCATTTTTGGGGTGATGGCAGCACCAGAGGGCTTGGGTGGGTTCAGCACCTGTGTTCCAGGTGGAGATGGCAGGGCACGGGGAGGCAGTTTGTTGTTGCACCAGAGAGCTCCCATTTGCCCAGCTCAGCTTGGCTTGGCTGCTTTTGAAATTTGAGTTTCCTCGGTCCACATACTCCTATCCCCTTTATTTATTTATTTTTTTTTCCCCTCCAAATCCAGGCCAGGCTTTTTGAAGTTTGAGCAAATACGATAACTCACTTCCATGCTTTCGGGGTCAGCTTCTCCCCCCGGCTTTAACACCATTTCAAATCCTCCTCCTCAGTAACCCACTAACCCATCCGGGAGCGTTTGCCTGGACTCAGTTTCCCCACACACGAACCCCACAGGTGCCAGCCGGGGGCATCCTTCAGATTTGCCTCTCGTCTCAGGGCAGCCCAACTGGCTCGCTCTGATTCTGCTGGCATTTTGGGCTTTTCCTCCCATTTTCTGTTAATCCGCAGTAAACCAGCGCATGATTCCAGCTCTGGCTGGAGGAGAACTCAGTTAGGTGCCTGGCACTCCATCCCGAGTGGCACACCTGTGGCTGTAGCCCCACTAAAGCTGCTTTGCAAGCTTCTTGCCCCAGTTCCCTGCACCAAAAGCCATTACGTGACTTACGCCCATGACCGTGCTGGAAATTTTCCGTGCCGACCATTTATACCCGGCGCTTACTCCACGCCCCGTGCAGACGTCTGAGCTCGCAGCCGCTTGTGAAACATGACTCAGAAGCCAGCCCCGAGCAGGAGATAATCTCTCCCCATCGTTTTGGCGCGTGGTGGAGCGGCAGAGTGCGAGTTCCCTCTGCTGGCACACACACAGCCCGGGGCTGCTGGCCCCACGGCTCCGCAGCCCAGCAGGGTCAAGCCGTGTCCCCGCTCTCCCAATCCCAGCCAGGACCCCCCCAGGCAGGGTGAATCCATTTCCAGGCAGCTCTTTGGAAACCCCAAAGATGAAGCTCCAAGCCCGTTTTGTGGACAAAAGGGGGCTGCAGCAGCTGCAAGCCGAATCCCACAGCCTCAGACGCAGGTCCCCGTGTCCCAGCAGAGCTCTGCTGCTGCAGGGATAAATCCTGGTGCATCCCAGGAGGGTGCCAGCAGCTTTGGGAGGGACATCGCCCTCAGATGGGGTGTTCTTGGGGTGCAGAGACCCAGAGCCCCGTCCTTCGCCAGGCTCTTTCCTTGGCTTTTTGTGCACGCTTCTCAGGCTGCAGCTTTTCCTTTTGACCCCACCTTCTGCTTGTGCTGGCAGGAGTCTGCTGTGGCCTTTGTCGGAGCATAGTCAGGGGGCTGAGGAGTATTCCTACCCTCAGGAAGGTGCAGAGCCACTTTTCTTCCTCCAATTCCTTCTCTGGAGCTTCTGGAGATGCGAGGCTGCGCTCTGAATGCTGCTGCCACGGCACGGCGAGGACTGCCCGCTCTCCCAGGAGCGGTCTCTGTTCCTTTTAAACCTTTCCTCTTCCTTTTCGTGTACCTTTTGGGGAAATTCCTCTCCCTTTTCCTCACGCTGGCTGTCCCTCTTGCTGCTAAACAATGAATGAATCCACCAAAAGTAAGCCCTTTTCTTCCAATCAAAGCCAATCTCTGCAACTGATAACTCGTGTCGGTGCTCGGAGCTCTCCTCCCCGGTGCGCACACCCCCCTCACCTAACAACCAACACCTGCAGCTCGGGTTTTAGCGGCCTGGAAAAGATTAACAGCCTGCATGGAAACTCCTTGGGACCAGCTTTGTAGCGCAGAAGGCACTAAATGGCACCGCAGCTTTTCCAACGCTTCGTACCGGCGCTGAGCTGCGCTCGCAGGGACCAGCTCTCCGCAGCCAGCAGGGGATGAAAGGCGAGCCCAGCCCCTCCCGGCCCCCCCAGGACCTCTCGCAGTAACCTCTGAAACTGTTGAGCTAATGGGAGAAACGATTCTTTCCTGTGATCCGAATGATATTAACCCTTGGGGCTGTGATTTGGTTGCCGTGATTTTATTTTATTTATTTATTTTTTTTTCTCCTCCCTTTTCGATGACGAATTACTGGAATGATTTTGATTTTGTTTTGTATGTAGATGCAGATAATATAATTTCCTCTTCTGTTCATTCATTTTCCAGCCTTGTTTTCTTCCAGGTCTTGTTGCTCTCCACCTTCTCCTGCTGTGTTGCTGTGTGACGTGTCCGCCTTTACTTCGCCTGCTTCGCTACCATCTCATCTCAATCTCAAGCCGTAGAACAACCTGGTGGTGCAGCCCCTTTCATGAGAAATCAACCTGCTTTTGATTTTGTTTTCGTTTTTTATTTTTCTTTTTTATTTTTTTCCTTGATTTTGGTTTTCTTCAGGCCTTCAACCTGATAGGGCACAGACAATGTTAAGTCATGGACCTTTTACTCCCTCCTAAACTGAGGCTCAGAGAAGGCTGGGCCAGTGTGAAAAGGGGATGGCTGGGTTCAAAAATTGTGACTCCCAAACCGTTCCCCACCTGTTGGTGAAGGGAGGACGTGAATTTAAGCTCTGTGAGCTGGTTGATGTGAACGGACATCTCATCTGAGCAGAACGTCCCAGGGGGATCGGGAGCTCTGCACGAGCACCAGGATCTCTGCGCTCCCAGTCTGCAAACTGGGAGGCACTGGGGGCTGAACGGATGTCCTGTAAAAACATCAAAAATTTAAATTTTAAAAGCAAAGACGTCCCCAATGATTCTGTCCCTTCCTCTTGGTTGTGGGCTTCAGTGCCTGGTCCTGGCAGCCTTGCTCTGAGCAGCAGTGCAGGGGTCCCCAGCCCCCCGGGGCTGTGATGTGCTCGGACTGTTTGTCTCATTTTATGGAATTTGGTGTAAATGTTAGTTTAAAACTGAACATCTCATGTATTTTTTTAGTTCTAACCTGCTGTTCCTTTTTTTTTTTTTTTTTTTTGTGGAAAGTGTTAAAAAGAAAATGTTTTTGGATAACCTGTTTCCCCTCATGTGGTTCCCCTTGTGGTTTTCATGCACGTTAGAGGTTTGCGCAGAGCAGCCCGCCCTGATTTTAGATGAGGCACGCGTGGGTCCAGATTTTGGGTCAGGAACCCAGCTGGTTTGAGATTTCTGGGGAGGTTCAAAATTGGGATTTCAACCTCCCAGCTCGGAGCTCAGCTGGTGCGAGTGTTGGTGGTGGGTTATTGCTTCACTTTCCCAGGCTGTGATTCAACACCAGAGGTTGATACTTGCCCAAACCCCTGGGCATGCAAATTTGCGACCAGCAGGTCCTTTGAAAATTCCTGTTTTTCCTCTCCTGTGGGTCAGCGAACAGCTTTTCATGCTGAAACAGCGCATTTAATTCCACCTGCAGAGGCCTGTTGTGTGCTCACCCTTGAGAGCATCCCTCTGGGCTCTGGATCCATCCACGATCCATCGTGGTTCTCCTCCATCCTGGGTCACCTGGGGTGCCACAGCGTGATGGGTGGCTGGAAAACCTACATATGCTCCAAATTGGGTGCAATCCTTGAAATTACCCTTGTGGGGCTGAGGTTTTGTAGGATTTCTCTTGCAGAGAAGGTGCGGGGTGGCACGTAGCCGCCCGGTGCCTCTGCGCCCCAGCTGGGTCTGACTTTCTGCTCCGTGGCGTGGGGGCTGTTTGGAGCTGCAGCGTTAGGGAGTAAAGGCAGAGCTTAAATCCAAACTGTTCGATAATCCCTGCTTCTTAAATGTCTGTAAAATCGAAACGTAAAAGGTTATTGCTGGTGTTGCCAAGGTTTTCTAGATATTTAAGAAGGTGCCGCTTATGGAGCGGAGTAGTGCGAGGCTTCTCCCAGCCCTGGCCGCAGGTAAATCGATGCATGCCAGGTCGGGGTGCTCGCCCTGCGTTTGTGCACCCCTAACTAGGAGAGAAACTGGGCTTAAAAGCCAGGTGTGCACGAGCAAGCAATTCTGCAGCGACCTCGCTGCCCCGGGCAGCCGTGCCGTAGCGGGATTGTGCAGCTCCACGCAGTCGCTGCTCTTTGTGCTCAAACCGGCTCTGGTTTTCCCTTTCCTCTCTGTCTTCCAGGCGATCCCAGGTCATTGAAAAATTCGAGGCGCTGGATATCGAGAACGCAGAGCACATGGAGACGAACGTGTCGGCGGGGGCTGCCCTTTCCAGCGAGACGCGGCAGGGCAGGAGCGAGAAGAGGGTTTTCCCACGGAAACGGGTGAGCTCGTGGTGGCACCCCACAGCCCATGGTGTGTGGGGTCTGGCTGGAGGGTTTTTGCCCCCAGCTGGAGCACGGTGGGCTCGTGCACGAGGCAGATTGCTGCAGTCCTTGCGGGTTTGCTGCTCGCTGCTCTGTGCCCCTGGCCCGGCTGCAGATCAGAGCAGCAAATCAGGTTGTCTTTTCTCCTTCCTCCAAAATAGAAAGAGGGAAACGTCAGATCTGGCACGGCAGGACGCCACCGTATGGTGTGAAATAACAAAAGAATCAGGCAATCTAGAGAATCCCAGTTGTGCTTAGATATATTGGGGACAGCTTAACCCCTGAGAGGCCTGAAAAAACGTAGTGCCAGGGAAATGACACTGTTTTGGAGCTGGAAATGCCCCTTAATTATGTGGATTTTTATGCCACTGCCCTAGTTCTGAGCTGATCTGGGCTCCCATTTTCTTCTCACAGGACTTCACGTGTGAAGGGGCGGCTGTGGGCTCCATCCTGGATGTCTCTGCGTCCCCACTGTCCCCACACCGCCGGGCGAAGTCGCTGGACAGGAGGTCCACGGAGTCCTCCATGACGGTGAGCCAGTGGGGCTGAGATCCTCCGCCGTGTAAAACCTGGTCCTCGTCCTCTGTTCCTTTCTCTCTAACCAGCTTGTAGGACGTGCGGTGTGGTTGTTGGAGCAGCCAGCTGAGTTTCAGTGACCTCAATCAGGTGTGGCTGCTCCTGGGAGTCCCAGGGGCTCAGCCGGAGAAGAGCTCTGCTTTTAGCCTCTTTTCTCCTACTATTGCAGAAATCAAAACCTTTTCAGGTAATGGTTAGGAAGCCACGTTCACGTTTGCCTTGTTAAGGAGGGCTGATGGTGGCCCAGTTTCCAGCAACACTTCTGAGATGTTTGTGCAAGTCGGTGCCAGCGGAGCGAGGTCTCCGAGGAAGGGCTGAAGCTGCCAGCCGCAGTTTTCTTCCATTTGCATGTTTCAAATGCTCACCAGACCTGGAGGCAAACAGTGCAAAACAAGCATGAAATGCCCTCTTCTCGCTCTCCACCCTGCCGTAGGAACAAAATAAATACACTTGCTAATCTCTCGCAGAGATTACGCAGCCATTGTAAATATGAGCTGCATTTTTCATAGACGGACAGCTTCTATTCAAGGACTTCTCAGAAAAATGCAGAGGCTTAGCATTTCTGTGCTAGCTTTTCACGTAGACTCGTACAGCCAAAAGAACGATTTTTGAATTCTTTGTAATAAAAAGGTGCGAGAAGTGAGGATCAAGTGACAGTGCCCATCATCTAAGGAAGGCAAGAAAACCGTGCTGTCAGTGGGAAGCATTCAGCACGCCCTTATCCTGCTGTAAAATTAGCAACATGGGAAAAAACCTGCGTGCCTGCTGGCTTGCGGCCACGACTGCAAGACTCCCCTGCCCCTCAGGTTCGCAGTATCAGCCCAGATCAGTTCTCCAGCAGGATAAAAACCGAGGGAGAGTTCATCCTTTGTTAGGCGCTGTGGGCTGCGGTTCGCGCCCGTGGGTGCCTCTCCGATCAGTGCTCCATCTCTTTCTGTTTTCTGGTGTCTGCTCCCCTCGGCAGCAGCTGGCCCCAAGCTTTCAGCAGCTCTGTGTTGGGCCGAGCTCGTGCTCAGGGGAAGGCAGGGAGAGGATTGTGCTGGGAGAAACCTGCCCGCCCCGGGGCTGCGGTGCTGCCGGCTTAGCAGCATCTTTGCGGCTCTCTCTGGCTGCGTTTACACCTTGGCTTCAATTTTAAGGAAACAGAGAGGTGTAGTAAAGTAGTACGAGTGGTGCTAAAGAGGGATTTGTCTCTTTTGCAGATGATTCTTGCTTCTTCCCAGTTGATAAATAACAAGCCCGTGAGCAGCCGTAGCACTTGTTCTCCTGTTTTCCTTCCCTGCAAAGTGCGCGGTTGGGAGCCAGTGGTTTTTGCTCTGAAATGTGGATGATTTTTGATCTGAAATGTAGATGCTTTGCTTGCAGCCTCTCCTTTAAAGGCTGTCAAACCCTTTGTGTTTAGGGCAGCCTGTGAAGCTCCCCTGTTGTACCAGGGAGGGCTTGTGCCTGACCCAGGCCCTGGGAGCATGATCCCACCTGCGCTTTGGCACAGGAGAAGCAGGCAGGTTGTGTAGCTCTCTCTGAGGGTAAATCAGGGCTGAAATGAGAATGCTCAGCGCTCCTAGCCTGCTTCAGAGATGGATGCAGTCACTGCAAATGCAGTTTTCTCTCTGGTTTCTCTGCCCCTTCAGCAGGCACTGGTGGGGCTCGGTGGGCTTGTGGCCAGGCTGCTCAGGCTGGCGGCTCTCCGCTCGCTCCTCCAATTCTCTAGGGATTTGGCAAGGGTGAGGCAGCATTTACCCTCCCCTGTGGCTTTGTGCTGGATTCCCACCACCGTGGGAGCACACAAACGCAGGATGAGCTCCCCCATAGCACAGATTTGGCTGAACTGGCTCCCGATCCCTGCTTTTCCCTGCTCCTGTTGCTGCAGCCTGTGTTGGATGCTGCAGCTGCATTTCACTGCTCTCCTTTCCTCCCCCGCTGCCCACAGCACGTGGAGCAGCCGGAGGAGCTCAGCCTCGAGGGAGCAAAAGCATTTCCCCCACATCCTTCCCGGTGCGCTGGCAGGGCTGGGGAGGAAGCAAAGGCTGGCAGGAGTCAGCCCACGCTGCTGCCTTGCTTTGCTCATCGCTCCAGCATCGCGGTGCACCCGCTTTGCAGGAAGTAGCAGGTGTCGTTTGGGTGGTGCAGAGCTGGGATTCCCTCGATTTCCAGGCCCTGCATCTGGGCACTCAGCCTGGCGTTGAATCCATGCGTGGAATAACGTGTGGTTTTCTCCTCCTAGGAGGTAAGAGAGGGACAAAAATGCTTGCAGTCCTGCTAATCCCTTGCCTCTTCCTTTGAATCCTGGTTCAGCAGTACGAAATCACAAGTGCTAGGAAGGGCCCAGCCCGACTAAACCAGGCAGCAGATCCCTGCGCCTCCTCGGAGCAGACGTTGAGCCTCCACACAGCGCAGTGATCCAATTTCCCTGGGGCTGGTCTCTCTGGGTGCAGGCTGTGTTTTATCAAGCTGCTGCCATTCCTTGCTCCCTGGCTGGATGCAGCCGCTGGCGGCCCAGCCCGCGGCTCTGACCGCCTCTCTCCTTCCTTGCAGCCCGACCTGCTGAACTTCAAGAAGGGCTGGCTGACGAAGCAGTATGAGGACGGGCAGGTGAGTCCGGGGAGGCTCTCCCCACTGCTTTTACCCCGCTTTTTGGCAGCTCCCACCTCCGGCAGAGCCTCGTGGCCGGGCGAGCTCTCCGCACGCGGCTGCGGTCGGTCCCTGGGGACGGGTGGCAATAAAATAGGGACGGTGGGGACAGAGTGGGAGAAGCCAGAAGGTTGGGCAGACAAATCTGGAGGCAGAAGCAGTGTGCCAGGAATAGCTGGTGCTCTGTCCTGGGAGTTTCCGAGCCTCACATCTGGATGTTAAAACTGTGGGTTCCTATGGAGCCGGGGCTGGGCTGAGCTGCAGGTACCCTCTGGTGCCTTGGGCCCAGGGGGCGAGGGCACGTCTGTGGGCACCCAGGGCTGAACGAAAAGCACTGGAGTGAATGTTTTGCTAGCTGAGCTCCCTTGGATAAAGCTGTGCTGTGCAGGGAGCATGCAGAAGGTGCGTTCATATAGAGCACGTGCCAGGAACAGGCTGCAATTCAGTTTCTAGGTACTGCGGATAAAACACAAACATTTTATTGCCTTTTTTTTGTTTGTTTTTAATCCCTCCAAAGCTTTCAGCGCAGACACTAAAAGCACCCTTCTGCCTGTAGAGCTAACGGAGGGCTCCAGCAGTTCCTGGGGCTCTCGTGGTGTTTCACCATCAGGTGTGGGGTTGGTGCTGTTGGGGTCTGGCACTCGGCTGGTGTGACAGCCGGGAATCCTGGTGGCTTGAACCAGCTCAAGTGCTGCTGCCTGCTCCTCTGGAGGGCTTTTTGGGGGAGCCAGGAGGGGAGAGGCTGCTGGTAACCACCCTGTGCTGGTTGTTTCCTAGTGGAAGAAGCACTGGTTTGTGCTGACCGACCAGAGCCTGAGATACTACCGGGATTCGGTGGCGGAGGAGGTAGGTGGCACCCCCATGGGTGTGAAACCCATTGCTCCTGGGGCTTTGTGCTCCCTGTGGACCTGCAGGGCTGAGGGCATTGGGGATCTCCCCAAACCCTGCACCTCCTGCATGTGTCCACAGCGCTTTCGCTTTGCAGAGCGCTCTGGCTTTGTGTCTTACCTCTCCCCTCCCTCTGCAGGCAGCTGACCTGGATGGAGAAATCGATTTATCCACGTGCTACGATGTCACCGAGTACCCGGTCCAGCGAAACTACGGCTTCCAGATCCACGTAAGGCCAACGTGGGGAGGAGGAAGAGGCCGGTGGCTGAGCAGAGCCCCGGGACTGGGTGCTGGGTGGCTGCGGGGAGCACGGGCGGGTGCTGGTGCACATTCAGCAGCTCTGAGCCTTGCTCTGCTCTCCCCAGACGAAGGAAGGGGAATTCACCCTCTCTGCCATGACGTCTGGCATCCGCCGCAACTGGATCCAGACCATCATGAAGCACGTTCGCCCCACCACTGCCCCCGACGTAACAAGGTAAATGGGGGGGGTTCCCAGCCCCTGCGGTGGTCTGGTTCTGTGTGCAGGAGTAACTCCTCTTTCCTTGTCCTCGTCCTTTCTTCGTGCTGAGCCTGTCTGTCCCTGGAAGCTCCGGCTCTTTCTCTCGTCCCTCTCTCTGGGCTTGGTTTGGATGCTCTTTGTGGGGACGCTGATAACGCTCAGTTACTCTTTCCCGCGTGCACATTTCAAAGAGGGTTGAAAATGTGGCTTTAATTTGTGCGTAGGAACATGAAATACTGTGCCTATCTCAAGGCTCCTCTGGATTCCCACCAGGTATTGTGAAAGCACTTGGAAGCAGTCGTGCTGGGTTCCCCCTTTCCTCTGGCTACTGCTCAGCACCAGCTGCCCGTCCCCGCCGCGGGTCACGGCAGCGCGAGCCCGGGGCTCGCCGAGAAGCTGTTTGGCTCCGATGTGTTTTAAACTCCAGCCAGGGAATCGCCTCCCCCCTTTTTTGATCTCCCAGATAGCGGCTGTGGCTCCTTCCCCTTGCGCCTTAGCGATATTCGCGTCTCCTCCTGCCGCCAGTGCCAGAGGAAGGGGCCCCTGGGTTCGCAGAGAACCCTCCGTGAGCGCTTGTGGCTTCAGGCAAAAAGGGCGTTTGACCTCCTCACAGCTTAACCGTGCCAGCCACGCTCCCACAGGCCACCTCGTACAGGCTTCCCGGACACGGCCACACCATTAACTCCATCTCCCGTCCTTCCCGTAGCTGCGGCCAGCAGGTTTTGGCCAGGTTTGCCCCCGGTGGAGTGGCTCCTCTCACCCAGCACTCTTGGCCGGGGATGCTCCGGCGTCTCCCGTCCCGTCCCGCTTGGCACCCGGCCGCTGCTGGGCCTCACGGGGTCGCCGCCTCTCTCCTCACTCCTCTGTGTGTTTGATTTCCATGCAATCCCAGGAAAAACTTCTCTTTGAAACTATCCGTGCTGAAGCCCAGGTTGGAAAACTGTGTTCTCTCCTGTATTAACGTTTTGTGGTTTGTATATCTTGTGATTCACTGCATGCTCCTCCTTTTCTGCACCTCGGATGGGAAGTTCCGCAGTTTTCATTTATTTTTCTTTCTTTTCTTTTTTTTCTTTTTCCCCCCCTTTATTTTTTTTTCTTCTTTCTTTTCTTTCAAACAAAAGCCAGAAAGAAGGGAAGAAGCAGCCTGGTCTTGACACTTGGTTCCCCCACACTGGTATCTTCCGATGTGACTAGATGTGAAGATGAAGACCCGGGAAATTTGAGGGGACCTCCCAGCCTTTAAAGAGCCATAAATCTTGATAGCCTAGCAGGTTACTGCATGACAGTAGTCCTGTGCTCACTGTCACTGCTTCTCCCCCGAGCCCACGCGGCGTGGTTTGACTTGGCTTCCCCCAGTGAGGCGCTCCAGGGGCCGGTTGTGCAGTAACTTGTTACGCCACCCAAACAGCCGGCGATGCTGAAGCCCGAGCTGGGGAACGAGGGAATCAGTGGTGCACCCTGCTCCTTTCTCACCGGGCTGATTTCGGGTGGGGTGCACGTGGGGGGGGTGTCCGGTCACCTCGCTGAGAAGTTGGGAGCTGGAGGTCTGCGTTCACCGAGGGTTTTTGGCAAGCCCTTCGCTACGGTAACCCAGCCCGTCGGGGCGTTTTTGGGCACGTCGTGAGCCCCCTCACCTTGCCAGCAGCCTGGGGACGGTGCTGCTGGCTCCCCGCAGCCCTCCTCCGCCTCTCCTCACCCCCCTGCCACGTCTCCACCGAGCCCAGCTCACGCTTTCTCTCGTTACTCCAGTCCTAATTACTGTTTATATTGCAGCGTGTGTCAGCACCCCGGGGGGCAGGTGCTGCCCTGCTCCCTGCCCTCCGCCGTACCCTGCAATCTGCGGAGGCGCTAATTACACGGCACAAACGATAACCATGAGGGTGTAAGGCACGCACGAGGAGGAGGACGGTGGCTGCTCCAGCGCTGGCTCTTTGCTGAGCCCCCAGCCCCCGTTCCGTGCAGCCCCTGTGCGCTCCCCGTCCACCCCTATAAAAACCATTTTTCTGACCCATAAATACCGTCGCGAGGCAGAGTCCCCTCCTCCTCGCCACGCGATGATGGGAATTGATTTCTCTGCAGTGGAGGAGGTGGGAAATGTGTGAGTGGAATGAAAAGCCACGGGGCACTCGTGGGAGATGAACTGCAAAATTTGGGGGCAGCCCTGGGGGTCTCGTAGCGCGGCTCCCCGCAGCCATCCAGCCGTGCCCTGGCTCACATCCTTGTGCCCTTTGGGAGCTGAGGAGGAGGAGTGGGCTCAGGAGAGATGGCACCTCCAGAAATGCTGAGGTTCTTCTCCGTGGTGTTTAGAGCAATTTTATTTCTGCCCCCCACCGATGCCCGAGGAGCCCCAGGGCTCCCTTTCTTCCTGGCACTCTTTGTTTTAAGACGCCATCTCCTCACTGGTTTATTTATTTAAAGCGCAGCTGTGAGCACTGACTCCAGACAGTGCCTGGCTGTACGTCTGCTCTGGAGCCAGGCAGTGTCTTCTAAATGCTTGAGGAGCAAGGAGGTTTCGCTGTGGTGCCTTTTGGCTTTATTTTATTAGCTACGAGTGACAGAGCTGAAGAAGGAATCGTCTCCAAGCTGTTTTTTAGCCGGGAACTGCCAGCATTTCTTGAAACCCAGCTCTACCGAGCCCGTGGTTTGGTGGTGGGTGAAAGTGCATCGGAAGATACCTGGCCCCATGCAGAGTCAGCCCTTCTGCCCCAGTCTTTGTCTGGGCATACGAAGGGGGAGCGGGGCTTGTTCCAGCGCTGGGGGAGCCCTGCTGCTGCTGCTGCTGCTGCTGCTGCTCCTCCTGCTGCCACTGCTCCTGCTGCCAGCAGTCCAGGCGCATGTGGGCTCGTGGGCTGGAGCAGTGGTAGCATTGATTTGCCTGCAGCGAAGGGCCCAGACAGCTGCTTTCTGGCTCTTTTTCACCGTGCCCTTCGAGAAAGCTTTTCCAGGCTGTGCTGGAGCCCCGGGGGATGCTGTGGTTGTGCTGGACGTGGAGAGCCGAGGGGCAGCCTGAGCAGCAGGGCTGTGCCCCAAGGAGGCATCTCGGGGGGGGCTTCTGGTGGCAAAGAGGGGTCAGCAAGCGCCTGCCATTCCTGCAGGACAGGATTCCTCTGCAAACTTAAACACGGCTATTTCCATTTTATTTTCTTTTTGGTTTCGATCTGCATGTTCCAAGGCTGGCATGTCTACGTTTAATGAGCTGGTATTGCATTATGGATTACCCGTAGGTTGGAAACGGCGCTGCCTCCCCCCGATAACTCTCCCTGCTTGACGAGTATGTCTCCCCTCTCAACCCACCACCCCCTAACTCGGCACTAAAAATCATCCCTTGCTTGAGAATCTGGCGTTTGCAGCGATTTCCGCGGCGTGTCCAATAACTCTTGCTCTCCTTGCTGCACCAACAACAGCATCCGTGCCATGCAGCCCCGAGCCACCCAACAGGCTGCTTTTTGTGGGGAGAGCCGTGCCTTCAGCGCAGATAGTGGCACGGAGAAGTTTTCTCCCCGTTAATGCCTGTCCCCCCGTTACCAGATGCTCCGTGCTTCTCCGCCCCGCGGTGCTGAAGCCGGGCTGGCTTTTGGTGGGACCGGTGGCACCCTCCCTGTGTGCACATCATGTGGCCGCGTCGACTGGTGTGTGTGCACGGGCAGGCACTGGAGGAGTCCTCGAAGCCTTTTTACTGCCCACGAGGATGGTTTGGGGCTGCTGCCGGCCCCGGGGCAGTTGCTGAGGAGGAGCACGGTCGGGATCGAGCTCTCCCGGGGCTGCTTGCACCAAGGCTTTGCGCACCAGCGTGACCCGGGGAAGGGCAGCAGTGGCTCCCGTGCCCGAGAGGCGGTGGGAGACGGAGGGGCAGGGGGGCACCCACATGGCATTGGCTTGGGCTTCAGCAGCCCCTTTCCACCTGGCTCTTCAAGGCATGCGTGGGAGCACCTCACCACCTCGAGCGCACGCTGACGCTTTTCTTTCCTCCTCTCTCTGTCCTCGCAGCTCCCTGCCAGAAGAGAAAAGCAAAACGAGCTCTTCCTTTGAGACCAGCCCAAAACCCAGCGAGAAGCCGGATGCCGAGCAAGCAGAGCTGGACCCGGAGCAGAAGCGGAGCCGCGCCCGGGAGCGCCGGCGAGAAGGACGATCCAAGACCTTCGACTGGGCTGAATTTCGCCCCATCCAGCAAGCCCTTGCCCAGGAGCGTGCCAACGCCGCAGACCCCTCCAAGAGCGCCACCGCCGCCTTCCCCAGGGACGCCGGCACCGCCGACGCCGACCCCGGAGAGCTGGAGCGGGAGCGGGCCCGGCGGCGCGAGGAGAGGCGCAAGCGCTTCGAGATGATCGACTCCGTGGACGGGGCAGGGCCAGAGGAAGCTCTGAGGATGGAGGTGGACAGGATCCTGCCCGTCCCAGCGGACATCAAACCGCAGAACGTCCATGTGGAGATCGAGCAGCGGTGGCACCAGGTGGAGACCACCCCGCTGCGGGAGGAGAAGCAGATCCCCATCGCGCCCCTGCACCTCGCCCATGCTGAGGACCTGGATGAGGGGCTGGCGAAGCAGCACTTGACCACACTGCTGGAGAAGGAGGTAAAGAGGTAGCTGTAGGAGGCCTGAGCAAGGCTTAAAAAGCTGCATTTACTCCTGCTCCGTGGTAGCAGTGAGTGGGGGTGCTTGGGGCGCAGGTCCACATCCATTCTTGGTCCCAGGATTAGGTTTGTCAGCCTGCCTCCCCCTGAGGAGATGAGCACAGTAGATGCGTGTTAACCAGACCCTGAACTGAAGCTCGTAATTCTGCCAGCCTCTGCACCTGTAGGTATCTGTGTCTGCAATTATGTCTGCAAAATTATAAGCAGGGTTGAATTGCAGCGCACGTCACAGAGGTTGGCTTCTTGTGGAGCCTGTATCAAACGATCTCAGAAGTTTAGGAAAAGAAAGGAGACTCAGCTCACTTGGAAGAGGGCCACGCCTGGGATAACAGAGGTTGTTGTTAGTCAGGATTGAGGTGCTTTAGCAGGAATGAAAGGGGTGCAGGCGTGGAGCAGCCATGAGTATTGCCAACCTGAACCCGGGTGGGATTTACCTGGGTCACGCCTGGCACAGGCTGGTGCCCTTTGTCCTTTTCTGCAGTGAGCTTTATGGATTAAACTAAAGTCCAACAGAGTTCTTTAGGGGGTGGAACTTCGCCTGGTAAAATGAAATCCAGATCCCAGAGCAGAGCGAGGCAGCGGTGCCATCGGACGCCCCGCTCGTGCCGCTCAGCATCCCCTCCAAGCTGCTTTCTCCTGATGGCCAACCCCCTGCCCACTCGCTGGACGCTGTCTCTGTTTGTGTCCCTGCAGCTGGAGCAGAAGCAGAAGGAGGCCCTGGAGCTCCTGGAGCAGAACCGGCACCTGCAGGACCAGCTGAAAGTGGCGCTGGGCCGGGAGCAGAGTGCCCGGGAGGGCTACGTGTTGCAGGTAGGCTGGGGGGAGAGGGAAAGCCATCTTCTCTGCGCCCAAAGGGGACCCTGTCAGGCTTCAGGCCGGGCTGTTGTGGGTGCACCCTGGTTAACGCAGAGATGGAGGGGCTCCGAGAGGTCTGACCCTCTTGGAAAAGTTGCTAGTTGTCACCTGGGAAGGATCTCCTGCGTACCAAAAGCTCTGATCTGGGATGGAGTAGGCAGAAGATAGCTCTGCCTACTGGTTTCCCCAGGAGAAAACGAACGCAGCCGTGGTAGATAGGACCTCAGCAAAGCCCATCTCTGATCCATCCTCTTTGTGATTGCCTGTGCAATCCCTTCTGAGTGCCAGGTGTTCCCCTCGGGCAGGGGGTGGACGTGAGGCTCTCCACATTTCTTGAAGTCCATCAGATCCTTCAGGACTCAGGGCTGATTCACTCTGGGACAGCCCTGCTGCTATCTTGGAGAGCTTCGGTGCTTTCTTCTCTTGCAAGGTGCCTTTCCACAGCAAGGCCTGGAACTGGTTTGGAAATTTTGGCCAAAGAGATGGGAGAATCTCTCAGGAAGCCTTTCCTCCCCACCTCCAAACAGCGGGCTGTTCGCCAGCCCCTCCTGTGAGAGCATCCGTGCTCCGGAGGAGGCGTGAAGGCAGCTTCTGGCTCGGCAGGGCTGGCGTTTTGATCTGCTCACGTCTATTTGGCCCAAGTGGCTCTGGATCCACGTGGATCCTTGTGTGGCTGCGTGCTGTGCTCCCGCGGCAGCAAGCCTTACGTCCTTGTTTCTCAGGGGAGGAATTTCCCCTGGAGAAATTGTAAAGGCAGAGGAGCCAGCCCAGGCAAGAGCGCATCTTGCCTTCCTTACTGGTGATCTCCTTGGAGGAGTTCCTTATTAGTGTAGTATTTTTAAGCCCCCCCAAGCCACAGTGCTTGCTGGGAGGAGTGCCATTTTCACTTGGCAATGCTGGAAAAACCTCCTTGGGGACCAGAAGGAGAAGAAAATGGCATCGAGCTAGCAAATAAGTCAGAGAGGCAGCGCCATCCTCTTTTGAATCGCAGATGCAGCATCCGTAAGGCTGTTAAATGAGACCACCAAGAAGCCAGGTTTGTGCGAGGTGCAGGGATGAGCTCCTGCAGGGACACCTCTTGCAGGAGGAGGAGAAACGCGAGCAGTTTCCCCATCTATCACGATCCCAATGTCTGCTGGATTTGCCACTCCGCAGTCTGCAGCTGCCGCCCCTGTTTTGGGGCTGGATTTAATCTGCCGTATGGCAGCGGCTCGCGCTGGCCCCGAGCCCTGGCACCAGCCCGAGTTTCCACGACAGCGTGGAGTAACTCCCGCATCCCTGGAGCACAGGCATCCGACCCTGCTTCGCCTGGGGCTTGGAAATCAGGGGATGGGGATCAAAACCAGGTGCTGCATCCTTCTGGCCAGCCTGGCTGAAGGTGGCCACGGCGCCTCGATGCGAGGTGGGGCGAGAGGGGCAGTCTGCAGAAGGGCTGAGCAAATCGTTGCTGCGCTAGGGAGCGACCCAGCCTCTCACCTAGAAGCTGGGCAGGGTTTTTCGGAAGGGTCCTTTAGGAAGGAGTAACCCCACCAAACCCCACCAGCGTGAAGGGAAGGAAACCGGTTATTATTTAGGGGTTTCTGCAGCCCCAAACCGCAGGCAAACATCACAGCATTTTTAATGGACGTGTCACGCCCCCCACCTCCATCACGCCTAATTTTGGAGAGGTTCCTGTGTCGGTGGGAGCCCAGCCCATCCCTCCTGAGCCCCCCAGGGGGGCACCGAGCCCTCGGCCAGCCCCGTGGTGGACACCCGAGCGCTGCCGCGGCACGAGAGACGCTGTTCCCGTAAGGCAGCCGCCGAGATAACCGCCCCCATGCATGTGCCGTGCACTGCAGCTCTCTCCCCCCTCCTGTAACCCTTCTCTTGCTCTCAGCTTCCTCGGGATACGGGGTGCCCAACGGGGGGCACGGCGGGGGCTCCTGCCCTACGCACACCGACCCGAGAACATCCCCAGCTCCGGTCACGGCGGGCAGGGGGGGGTCACGTACTAACCTGTCCCGGGCGGGTGTTCTTGCATGGTTGTTTTTTTTTTTGGTGTAAAGCATGAAATTTAACTTTTAACGTTAACTGAGTGTCACATCTGTGGGCTTTCCTTACCAGCAACCAGAGTACAGCAAGGCAGGCCAAATTCCTAGGCTTAACGCTGTGCTTCTCTTGCCTCTTCCTGTCTGTGTATTATTTTTTTTTTTTAAAGATACATCATTTCTGTCGCCTTTTGCATGACTCTCTGTGTGAGTTTTCTCTTTGCATGCTACACTGCTTTGGTTTGAATCTCACAAAGGTTGGTTTCTTTCGTTTTACATTCTCATCACACCTGTTCCCCCCACCCCTCCTTCACTTGTCGGGCTTTTTATTTTGTCCTTTTTCGTTTGTTTGTTTGTTTTTTTTGCAGGTAGCGAAATTAGAATCCTTCCTAGCCTTAAACTTTAGCATAACACCATCTCTCTAATGCGATGAGCAGCCAATAAGTCCTGTCTAGCAGTCACAGAAATGACATCGCCACGCCGGCTGTCCTGTCTCCCTGCGTTTCGGTGGGATGTGATGTCATTTGCTGCCACCTCACTTTCTGTTGTTGCTTTTGTTCGGTAGGACTGTGGTACCTGAACTGTGCACTTTTTGTTTCATGACAAAATGAACAAACACACTAAAAAAAAGCAATTCCTTTCTCCCCGGCCTGTTCCCGTCCCCTCCTCCTTCTCACCCTTCCAGTTTTTCTCTCGTCTGTCCGTCTCTGTTTTACTGCTGGTGTTTCTTTTTTTTTTTTTTTCATTGTTTTTTTTTTGGTTCTGTTTGATTTTGGTTGTTTTCTTTTTAGCCTGTTACTGTACAGCTGTTTTGATGTTACGGTCCATGTTTTCTGTTACTGGAAAGCAGTTGTCGCTCATTTAAAAAAAAAAAAAAAGAGAGAAAAAAAAAAGTTGGTTAAAACAAAATAAAATTGTGCCAAGAACAAATCATCCCAATTGGAGCATGTGGGTAGCAGCCAAATCGCTGTGAGGAGCTTTTCCATGGCCTGCCTGGCCAGAGGTGTGACACTCAGAAGGGAGAGCCAAGAGTGTTACTAATCTCGTATTTAATCAATTTTTTTAAGACCGAGGTGGCCGCCTCGCCATCAGGTGCCTGGCAGAGGCTCCACAAAGTCAACCAAGACCTCCAAAGCGAGCTGGAAGCCCAGTGCCGGCGTCAAGAGCTGATCAATCAGCAGATTCAGTCGCTGAAACGCAGCTACGCCGAGGCTAAGGACGTGATCCGGCACCACGAAGCCGAGATTCAGAGCCTGCAGGCGAGGCTCAGCAACGCGGCCGCCGAGCTCTCCATCAAGGAGCAGACCCTGGCCAAGCTCAAGAGCGACCTGAGGAGCGAGAAGGAGAAAGCCAAGGAGCAGCTGGAGGAGTGGCAGCACGGCGAGGCCGCGCTCAGCTCCCAGCTGAAGGCCAGCGAGCAGAAGCTGAAGAACGCAGAGGCTCTGCTCCTGGAGAAGACCCAGGAGTTGCGGGACCTGGAGATGCAGCAGGCTTTGCAGCGGGACCATCAGAAGGAGGTGCAGCGCCTCCAGGACAGGATCGCCGACCTGAGCCGGCAGCTGAACGCGAGCGAGCAGACGCGGATCCTCATGGAGGAGAAGCTGCAGAAGAATTACGAGGCCTTGCTGGAGAGCTGTGAGAGGGAGAAGCAGGTTTTATTGCACAGCCTGAAGGAGGTGGAGGATAGGGCCAACGAGTACGAGAATCAGCTGCAAAACAACGAGCAGCAAATGGAGATTCTGCAGAAGGAGAAGCTGAGCGCCAAGTTCGAAGGCAGCGAGCTTGTCCACCAGCTGGAGGAGCAGCTGGTGATGAAGGAGGCCAGCATCCAGAAGCTCGCCGAGCACATCGGGGAGCTTGAAAGGGAGAGAGATCAGATCAAATGTCGGTTCCACGAGCTCATGAACCAGGTCGCCGAGTCAGATAACGAAGTTGCAAAGCTGCAAGCAAAGTTGAAGATGGAAGAGACCAACTACCACAACCTGGAGCAGTCGTTTGAGGAGGTGTCGGATCAGTTCCAGGGTGTGCAGAAGGTGCTGAAAGAAAAAGAGGAGGAGCTGAGACACGTTAAGGAAATGCACTTGAGGATTGTGGAGAAGAAAGATCAAGATCTCAGCGAGGCTTTGGTTAAAATGATTGCTCTGGATAGCAATTTAGAAGAGACGAAAGTAAAGCTGAAGGCCAAGGAGGAGGCTTTAAGGAAATTAGCTAGCATAGGCACAGGTCCATGTGCTGAGGAGACAGAAGATGTTGGCCCCAGCCTCGAGGCTGATGAAAGTCATCCGTCTCAGCTGGGGCAGCCTCTGCAAACTCAGGATGTCCTCCCAGCTCTGAGTTACGCACTGAAGGAGGAGGAGGAGGAGGTCCTTGAGACCAGCCAGAGGCAAGCAGAGGAGTTTGGCTCCCCGTCCAAAGCTGCAGAGCTCCAGGACCAAGAGCTGGTCCAGAAAGCCTTAGCAAAGCCTGATGTAGGAATCATGGGGGCCAAGAGGCAACGAATCCGCTTCTCCAGCATCCAGTGCCAAAAATACATCCACCCGGATGGGTCAGAGAAGAACTGGACCAGCAGCACCTCTTCAGACACCAGCCAAGACAGGTCGCTGTCTGAGGAGAGCATGTCCTCGGAGCCCGCTCTCGGTTACCCGTCGTCAGGGACCAGCGACTCCGAGACCTATCTCTCGATCATCCACTCTCTGGAAACCAAGCTGTATATCACAGAGGAAAAGCTCAAAGACGTGACCATGAAGCTCGAAAGCCAGCACGGCCATAATCAGGAGACCCTCATCGCCCTTCACCACCAGTGGGCCAGCACGGAGGCCCAGCTGCGGGAGCAGCTTCAGAGCAGCTTGTCCCAAGTCAGTGCTCTGATCTCGCAGCTGGAGAGCGAGAGGCAGGAGAAGTTCAAGCTCATAGAAAATCATGTGAGCGAGCTGGGAGGCTTCCAGATGAAAAACGACCAAGCGCTGACTTGCTTAGAGCAGTGCAGGGAGCAGCTAAGAGCTTTGCCTAAGTCAGAGGAGGAAAAAGAGGGCGATTTGTTCCTCGTTACTCTGTCCGGCCTGGAGACGACCTTATCGAGCGCAATCCAAGCCTTGAGAGGGGCGCCAGGCCCGTCTGAGTATCAGCAGGGCGAGGGCCTTATCACGGAAAGCCCTGCTTCAGAGGGAGGGCTTCGGAGCGAGGAGGAGCACGTCCCCAAGGAGCAGCGAGCCGAAACATTCGACGCGGGCCAGCTGAGGTGGCTTTCGGAGAGAGTGGCCTTCGAGGCCTCTCTGATCAACCAAATAGCGGAGTCTTTGCAAAGTGCAGGCTCCGAGATATCTCAGCTGCTCAGGGAGATCCAAGGGACAGCTGAGGAGGCTTTGATAGAGCCGGCAAATGTTTCTCCTCCAGCAGTTGACTTGGCCGGTGTCCTGTCTAACAAGCTGCTGCTGGAAGGGGAGTTCTGGAGCCAGGTGGAGGAGCTGAGAGTGCACTTGAGCACCAGGGAAGGAGAAGCAGAGGGCAAACCAGAAACGGCAGGTTTGGGGTTTTCTCCTTGCTTTCTCAGTGCTGTAGCAGATGCTACACTGATCAAGGCAGAACTTGGGTTTGTGGCACAGAAAATGAGGGATTCTTTCCATCGGAGATTGAAAACAATCGAAGAGGACCTCCATAATACCAAAACAGCCCTCCAGCAGCATAAGTGCATGCTGGAGGAAATCATCAAAGCGTACAGGACTCCTGATTTTGACAGAGTCATGCACCAGATTTCTGAAGCACTTGAGATTCAGAAAGATGCTTCAGAAAGAACGCAGATCTCCTGGGACGGGAGCCGTCTCCAGATGGTGCCCTACCAGGACTCAGCCAAGGTGGGGGAGGTCTGCAGCCTGCCAGGCCGCAGTAGCGAAGCTCTCGTTTCCATCCAGGAAGATCCTTGCCCAACAGCTAAAGGACAAATCCAACGTGCTTAAGGAAATATCCGTTGCCTTACTGTCTCTGCCTCCTGAGGAGGCCATGCGAGACTGCCAGAAGCTCCTGAAGATATCTCAGAGTCTTTCCTACCACTCGTGCATGGGAGACCTGGAGCGGTATTCCTCTTTGCTAGTCCAAGATGCAATTGTTCAGGCTCAGGTTTGTTACGCCGCTTGCAAAGTCCGGCTGGAGTACGAGAGGGAGCTCAAGTCCTACAAGGAGTCCTTGCAGAGCATGGACGCGCTCTGCCAGGAGCGCGTGAAGACGGTCTCTCTGCTCCGGGACGAGTACGAAGATTTGCTGCGAAAGCAGCAGGGGGAGTACGGCGAGGTGATAGCCATGCTGGAGCGGGAGAACGCCGACCTCAAAGCCAAGGTCTCCCAGCTGGACGGTCAGCGAAGGCTTCTGGAGGAAGAGGAGCGCAAGCACAGCAAAAGCTTGAGCGAGTTGCAAGGCCGCTACGAGGAGGAGATCCGGAACGTGATCGAGCAGCTGAACAGGACGGAGGATGCCCTGAAGGCCGAGAGGACGGAGGGCCTCAGCCAGCTGGATGCCATCGTCCGCGACAAGCAGAACATGGAGCGGTACCACCTGGAGCAGATGCAGCTGCTGGAGGACAAGTTCCAGGCCAAGATCAAGGAGCTGCAGGTCATCCACGGCCAGGAGCTGCAGGCGCTGCAGGAGCACTACAGCCAGAACCTGCAGCGCCTGCAGGAGACCCTCGACGAGTACCAGCGGCAGCACCCGGAGGTGTCCCCCGCGGCAGGACCGAGCGGTGGGGACCCCTGGGTGGCCGGGGAGCCGGGCGGCACCGGGCAGGGTCCCGGCGGTGAGCTGGACTCCATGCACGGCCTGAGGGAGCGCATCCAGGAGCTGGAGGCCCAGATGAACGTGATGAGGGACGAGCTGGAGAACAAGCACCTGGAGGGCAGCGCTTCCACGCTGAGGGAGAAATACCAGAAAGACTTTGAAAACCTAAAGGTTTTGCCACGTTTTAACGCTTTACGCTTTCTCCTGCTTGAGTGTACCGGGGGGGTGCCTTCGGTCCCCAGGTTTGCCAAACTTAGGGGCATCCCCCATGAGAGGCAGCACACCTGAGCAAGCCCCTAAATGCTTACAAGACCTCTGTAAAGCATGGTATTTATTCCATGCTTGTTTTTCTCTGTGCTGGGGTATTCTAAATGCATTGCTGTGGGGGAGAGAGCTAATAACCAGAGGCAGTCTCAGCAGCAGGGCTGCCGGTCGTGTAGATGGAAGGAGAGTTTCCAAATAGCTTGATACTGTCAAGCTCTCCTTCAGTGTTTCTCCTCGTACCCGAGGTGTACATTTTGTTTGTGACTTCCCTTTAGAAGCATTCCTCAACTCTGTCTTTCCCAGTCTGACCAAATCTCTGGTCTGTCTCTGCTGCCCTCAAAAATGGGAGATGAAACGGGGACCCGCGCTCTCCAAATGTACGTTCCCGGGGCAGGTAGCTGCAAACGGACGCCAAATTCTGTAGCACAGCAATCTCCTCTGCACATGGCTGAGAGGGAGATCACTGGTGGTATACGCCAGCATTTTTCACGTAACAAACAGTGCACAGTTGCTGGGACCCCAGCCTTAGGTGCAGAAAACCCAGTGGCGATGAAATGCCTTCATTAAGATTGCTCCAGCAGGCAGGGCGGGCTGTAAAACCAGCCTTAGATGGATGGCACAGCTCTGAAAAAGACAACAAACCTCCTGGGTTGGGTGTTCTGCTCTTGGTTCAAGACCATTTCCAGCTAGGACCTGGCTTGAGGGTGGCGGGGGAGTCCCAGCAGCAGCCAGGTTGAGCAGCAGGGGCAAGGAGAGGTGCCCAAAAGGTCAGCAGTGGTCGTGCAAAGGCCGTGCTGGCGATGCTTTCCAGGAGCAGTCGTTTGTGGAAGTCAGCAAAACCAGCCAAAATTGAGGCTCCAAACTACCAGCAAGCACAGACCCTGCCCTCCCTCCCTGGCTGTGCCAAAACCAAAGCAAGAAGCATCGGCTGGGCAGGGCAGTTTGGGAAGAGAGCAGCTCCGACTGGCCTGTGTATGCACCTCTGGAGGGAGCAGAGGGACAGAGAGGAAAACAGAAATGTCCTTTATTTGAAAGCTGTCCAGGAAATTGCAAATCAGTTTTACAGGTTAAGATTCTTCTCTTCTGAACCCCACTAGGCACTGGTTTGTACCTTTCAGGGGTCCTGGTTTTATAGCAATGCATTTACAATACATTCAATACTGAATCCACAGTCCTGTCGAGGAGTAGCCACGGTTTTCCTCCAGTGTTATCCAGAGGCATAAGGAAGGATCCTGCAAGCCAAGCCCAGGCAGGTTCTGGCACTGAGCTGCAAGTTTCAGAAAACAAGGCTGAGAAAAAAAAAAAATGCAAAATGCCTCCGGATTAAAACTTGAAGGGGAAGGAAAAAGCACCAGAGGCTGAAAATAGAGGGAATGACAGAGGTTATGCAGAATTATACAACAAAGTGTGATGCTGCAGAGTGTGTGTTAGTGTAGGTCAGTGGGTGTTGGACTTGTGTCACTGGGGGAGTGACTTTGTCCCCCTTAAATCACCCTTAGAGTACCCGTGGCTCCCTAGGGGACAGTCCTCGCCCCCCTTTGAAAACAGCAAATGTGAATCAAGAATTTAATTGAGATAGGAAAGTCGCATAAAGAGGGAGAAAAGCCCGATGTGTGACTGCCTGCAGAGGGGCTGGCTCAGTACAGCCTGTCCTGGGGCTTGCTGCTGTCTTCAGAAATGAGAGAAGAACCCAAGGGGTCCGTTTCCCCTCATGGGTCTGACACCTGCCCCTGGGGAGCTCAGGTGGCCCCTGACCAGCAGCGTGGGTTTGTGCCCCAACCCTGCCATCACGGTTGCATTTTGGCCCCTGCAAAGGCACGAGCAGGATCTGTGCCATGGGCAGAAAAACCCAGCTGGGACTTGAGATTTCACCGTTGTCAATTCCTGAATCCCTAGAGCCCTGTTCCCTATTTCCTGGCCTAAATTCAATCCTAGGAATTGAATTAGGAAATCATTTCCCGTGCAGCATTTGAAGCCATGCTCAGCTGTGAATTAAGGTCCTGCCGTTGTCACGAGCCCTCTGTTTTCCACCCAGAGGTGGCTGCACCTGGAAGCAGGGGTTGCAGAGGAGAGCAGAAGGGGCACACCGGTCTCTTTTTGCTGTTTTACCACCCGTTCGCACTCCCCTGCTCAATCTGACCCCACACCTACCCTTATCCTTCCCTCTCCCTGGAGCTGCCAGGGGTCGAGCGGCTGCAGGACGAGCCCTGACCTCATGGGGTCCATCCTCAGCCAGCTCCTGCGTGGCTGGGGAGGGAGAAAACCCTGGTGATGGAAGCTGGGTGCCCACCACCCGCTGGCGTGCAGCTCCCGAGGGGCTCCCCCACCGCTGTGATTCCAGCCCCCGAGCTCCCGGGCCAACCCCTTCCCCTCGTCCCTCTTGCAGGCAACATGTGAAAGGGGCTTTGCAGCCATGGAGGAGACGCACCAGAAGAAGATCGAGGACCTGCAGCGGCAGCACCAGCGGGAGCTGGAGAAGCTGCGGGAGGAGAAGGACCGCCTGCTGGCGGAGGAGACGGCTGCCACCATCTCAGGTACTGGATGCCCAGGATCTCTGCATTAGGAGCCCTGCAGTTCAGGAAACAGCGTGGAAATTGGCCGGCTGTTTGCACCTTATTATACAGCAGGATTTGCAGAAGCCCCTTTGCTGCACTGTGCCCAGGGGCACAGGCTGGGAAGCAGTGGGGTAGCTCACTGGGCTGACTGGGGTCTTGTTCCTGTAAAAACCAAACCGCAAACAAAAAGAAAACCCTCTCCAAAAGCCTCCTTTTGGGCAGAGCGGTGCCGGGTACTAATCCTGTGCCATCCCCTGCAGCCATCGAAGCCATGAAGAACGCACACCGGGAGGAGCTGGAGCGAGAGCTGGAGAAGTCGCAGCGCTCCCAGATCAGCAGCGTCAACGCCGACATCGAGGCCCTCCGGAGGCAATACCTGTAAGACCATCATCATCCTGTCTGTCCCGTGTCTCGGGGGGGGATTAGGCATGTGGGAGACCCCTTCTGACCCCTGTCCCAACCCAGCTGCAGCCGTAGGCTCCTGGTTTGGGGATTCCAGCTCAATTTCCCCAATTTCAGCTGGTGTATGGTCACCAGAAGTGCAGACGATGCTGCTTTTCTCGCAGCTGTAAGGTGAGGAGAGCTGAACCGCCTCTGAGCAGGCAAGGTGAAAGAAAGCACTTGGCTTTTGGTGGCGAGGCTGTCCTCACGCAGGAGCTGAACAAAATAGCCAAGCAGCTTGAAACATCCCCGTTAGGTGTGCACTGTCCTTCGGTCCTGAGTGCAAGCCTGGCAGATCTCAGCTGTATTTTGGGAAACCTAAGGAAGGAAACCTGCCATTTAACCTGCCAGAGAAAGCCCTCCTGTCTCTTTCGATGGCCAAGCACCAAAATGCTGGGAGAATGAAGGGTTGGCTCGCTCCGGGCTCAAAGTTTTTCCAAAAGGGAGCACACGGCTCCTTGCCCCCCCTGGTCCTTAGATCCCTACTGGCTTATCCTGGGCGGGTGGGAGGCACGGGAGGACAAGCTGGGGAGGTCACTGTCTGGTGTCTCTGTGCCAGGGAGGAGCTGCAGTCGGTGCAGCGGGAGCTGGAGGTGCTTTCGGAGCAGTATTCGCAGAAGTGCTTGGAGAACGCCCACCTGGCGCAGGCGCTGGAGGCTGAGAGGCAGGCCCTCCGCCAGTGCCAGCGGGAGAACCAGGAGCTCAACGCCCACAACCAGGTGAGGTCGTGTCTAAAGCCTGACGTTTTTTTTTGCTGGAATTGTTTCGTGGCATGGGAATAGGAGGTCTTCAAGAAATGTGGAGACTTAGAACTTAGTAGCGTGGTTTAGTGGTGGACTTTTGTACTAGGTTAAGGGTTGGACTGAGCAATCTTAGAGGTCTTTTCCAACCTGAGTGATTCTGTGTCCCTGCTGGGCATTGTCACAACTTTGGTGCCCTCAAGCTGGTGTCCTCATCTCTCTTTTGAGTGAAAATGCAGGGTTTTTGGTAAAGATGCCCTCTTGCAACTCCAGAAGGCCACGGAGGAAGGCACCAAGCAGGGCTGGGAGGTGCTGCTGGCTCTGCGCTGAGCCCGTGGCCCTGCTCCCCCATCCCATAACATCTCCCCCCATCTTCCAGGAGCTGAATAACCGCCTGGCTGCGGAGATCACGCGGTTGCGGACCTTGCTGACCGGGGAGGGTGGAGGAGAGGCTGCTGGCTCGCCTCTCACCCAGGGCAAGGACGCCTACGAGCTGGAGGTGAGCCCGGCCGCGGGGATGAGAGCCCGTGGGCCACCAGGAGCCCCTGTCCTTCCACACGGCTGGTACCGTGCACTGGGGGCACAGTGGGACCTGGGAGATCCTGGGATCCCAGTCCTCCTTTTTCCCCATTTTGGGCTTTGTGCCCTGGCTCCGTGGCCCCCAGGTGCAGTGGGTGAGGGTCTGGGGGGCTGTGTGGTGTCCGCAGGGGTGTGATCACTCTGCTTCTGTCCCTCCAGGTCCTGCTGCGGGTCAAAGAGTCGGAAATCCAGTACCTGAAGCAGGAGATCAGCTCTCTCAAAGACGAGCTGCAGACAGCACTGAGGGTAATGCCGGCTGCAGGCTCGCTTCTGCGAACCTTCCCGAGGGCTGTGCTCATCTCTTGCGTGTCTGTGCTTCGATTTCAGCTCGCTTATCCCCAGATTTGAAACGACATTTCATATTTGCCCCTAACTGAACTGACTACCCCTTTCGGTGTTACCAGTAAAGCACCCCACTACTCTGTCAGCCCACAACTTACCCCTTCTCCCTTTTTGTGGGAAAACATCCCCGCGGGTGTTTTTTCCCCAATTCCTGTCACATCAGATATTTGAAATGGCAAAAATAGTCAGCGTTAGAGACCTGCCCAGCCTCCCAGCATTAGATCTGGCTCGTTCCAGACAGCCTCTTTGCCAAGGCCATTTCTGGGAATTCTGCTTTAATTCGGTGCCTTTGCTAAAGCCCATGAACAAGTCATCCTGTAACAAAGGGACCCACATGCGTGGGCAGCACCGTGTGCTCACTGCTGCGCTCAGAGCATTCTGCATATCTCCAGCCCTGTGTTTGCTGCTCGATGCGGCTTCAGGAGCGTGTAAAATGAGCCCCTTGCCCCGGCTGGCATTGCTGCCTGCTGCCCACGACTCCAAAGTGCAGAGCAGGGAGGAGAAAAAATACAGCTAGGTGTGCAGGGCGCTGCTCCAACACGCTGCTCATCTTCCGGCGGCTTGTGCCAAGCTGCTCGTCGGTGCGTTCCCCTCGGCTCCAGCTGTCTGTCTTACGCTCTTGGGTTCTTCTTGTTCCTTTGCCAGGATAAGAAATACGCCAGCGACAAGTACAAAGACATCTACACAGAGCTGAGCATTGTGAAGGCCAAGGCAGACTGTGATATCAGCAGGTTGAAAGAGCAGCTGAAAGCAGCCACAGAAGCTCAGGGAGAGAAATCCCCTGTGAACACCACTGTATCGGGATATGGTCAGTCCTCCTCCAGCTGCTCTAAGCAATTTTGGGGTTCCTGGTCTGGCACGTGCATCCTGGCGTACGAGCCCTCGTGGAGTAACGGGTCCAAGCATAGGACTTTGCTTTTTTTGTGTGCTTTTTTGCCATTTCATGTTGCATCCCACCTCCGCCCCTTGCTGACAGTGTTGCCAGAGGTGGCAAGGAGCGGGCAGCCTGAGCTTACCTCCCGTGGCAGTTCCTCCTTCCAGCCCGAGGATGGGAAGCTCGTGGTTTTGAAAGGCTTCTGCCATTTGGCATCGTGAAAGCCTCGTGCTGCGCAGTGGCGCGAGGGAGCCCCGGGGAGTCCCCTGTGCCCTGGCTCATCGGGAGGCAGAAAAAGCCCCCTGGCCCTGCCCCTCGCAGGAATCCACGGGCACTACGTTAATACTGGTCATTTTGCTTCTCTCCAGATATTATGAAATCAAAAAGCAACCCTGATTTCTTGAAGAAAGACAGATCCAGTGTTAGCCGGCAACTAAGGAATATCAGGTCAAAGGTGAGTTCCCATCTCCTTCAGACACCCAGAGGGGGTTGCAGATGGGAAGAAATCGGTAGGGGAAGAAAACTGAGAATTTCCTGGTCAGTTAATGCTAGCCTGGAAGGCAGCTGGGAGAAAACCAAGCTTTCAGATGGGAAATGGTTTGCTGTGCGGCCAGGCAGAGCCCGCTGCCAGGTGGTGCCTTGTGGGGCACTTGTGTTCCTGAACCTGCTGAGGTGTAGGTGTGGAGCTGCTCCTCGCCTGAGCCAAGGAGGAATTTCACCCTGTTCGTTGGTCTTTCACAGAAGGATTCTCCCAGAATCTGCTCTCCGTTTTTAGTAGGAATGTAGGGTGATATCAAAGGGTGGAAATGCACACAGCATTACAGGTTTTCCAGTGTTCATCACTGCGAGATTTTTGGTTTTTATATGGAACAGCGACGCCTTGGCTCTGGACGTATTTAACACACACTTTCTTGTGTGTTAACACAGTGCAGATGGCCCTGCGTTTCTCTGGCCGTTCTGTACTTGCTCTTCGTCCCAGATCCCAATAATTCTGTGCCAAGTGCGTCTGCTCGGCCTGCTGACTGCCAGAATTGCATCATGCTACACGCTGGCTGTTGCTGTGGGACCACAGAGATAAAAAGGGCAAATAAAGCCGCTCACAGCCACCATTAAGCACAGGGCAGTTACAAGGGAGATCAGCATGGGCAAAACTTGCTTTGCCTCTCCCCGCTGGGCAGTGGGTATCTCGTGCTGCTGTTTGAAGTGGCTGGGACTTGGGGCAAAGTGAGAAGCCGGGCAGAAAAAGGCTTCTAGCTGGGGAAACAGTCACCAGATGAGCTCTGCAAGCAGCACGTCATCAGCTCGGGGTGCCTGCAGCTGCACCGAGTCAATGCAGGGAGCAGCTCTGTGCATTTTGGGGTGCAGTCCAGGCTTGCAGCCTCGCTGTCCCAGCTCCGAGGGTTGGTTGCCCTTCGCCACTTCAACTCGGAGCTCTTATCTCGTGGTCCCCCACGTGTGCTGTCCGGAGGTCTCGTGGGGGAAGGAGGAGAGCAGGGGGCACGCTGCCTGCTTGCGCCGCTGCCGCGGGGAGGGGGCGGGCAGGGCTGCGCGAATGCCAATGCCTTTAGGATTTATGAGCTTCTTGTTTTTGTTTTTGTTTTGTTTTTTTTTCTTTATTTTGCTTTCTCCTCCAACAGTCCGTTATTGAGCAGGTCTCATGGGATAACTGAAATGAACCCGAGTCCAGGTTCCCTGCCACGTAGGTAAACAAACCGGCACCCACCAAACAGCGCAGCTGCCCGCTGGAGCGGCCCCCTTGTGCATGCACTGCTCACACCTCCATGGCAAACGAGAGCCTTTCTTCTCTTAATGACTGACCGGTTTACACATGGTTAATGATTTTACTGGGGGAGGGGGAACGGGAGGGGAGAAGAGAGCTGACCCGAGAGCTATACGAGATGCAGCCTCTCTCTGCCCTTCCCCGGGGAACACTGGCTTTCTCATCTTCCTACTCCTCCCACCCTCCCCGACACAGCTAACCAGCGCGGAGAGGATTTGGACACGGTGGGGGCACATTTTCCTGTTTGCTGTGTTGGGAGCGCGGGACACGGAGTGTGCATGCTTGAGTGACTGTGCATGCCTCAGACTAAACTGCAGCAACTGCCAGGTCTGGGAGGAAAAAACACCTTCTTGTTGTTAGCCAGATGGAGGAGTGGAGCAGTGATGCCTCTACGTGCATTTCCCACCTAGCCCATGTAAAATAGTGCCCCCGGTCTCAGCATGCAGAAAGAATGTCCTAGGCTGCCCCGAATTTCCCTTTGCCCGTACTTGCTGCTTCGTTAGGTTGATCCGTGCCTTAGCAAAATGTTTTCCTTGCCCGTTGACGACCTCCTCCTGCTCTCCAGGCTCCCTGGTGCCCACCCTGCTGCTCTGCGTCCCTTGGCACTACACCTCCATCCCACAGGCTGGCCTGAGGCTTCCGAGCTCATCCAGCAAAAGGGGGGAGCTGATGAGAAACGAGCACGATCCTAATGACACAGATGTTGAGTAACCGGAGCAATAGTTAATTTTATTGGCCCGTGGTAAAGGCTGAGGTTAGAGAATGGTGACTGGGGGAGAGCTGAGAGCCTCAGGGGCTCTGGTGGAGGATCCCCATATCACAGACTTCACCCTACATTAGTCTCCCTTCATCAAACTCCCCTCATCAGCAACTCAAATGGGTCGTGAAAGTCCCTCAGGGGTGAATTTGCTGGAATTTGTACCATTAGGCAGCACAGCCTAATGGCTTCTGGTATCTGGTTCCATATAATTAGAAATCAAATGTACAAACTGGAACGCAGGGGCTGCTGCTCATTTAAAGAGGCCCAAAGCTAACTTCCTTCAGGAAGGGCGTGCTCAGAGGCTGGGATCCCAAGAGGCTCCGCTGCCGGCTGAAAAGAAAGAATACATCATGTGTGAGCTTCAGTCCAGCTGCGGCGCTTTCATTTCCACGCCGCTCCCCCAGCGCCCTTCTGTGTTTTGTGAGGAGTGTTTCAAACCAACAGCACAGCCTCGTGGCGAGTTTGTACGCACCCAGCCCTTGATAAACATGAATTAAGCAGAACCTGGCCCAAAAAACCAACCTGCTGCGAGGTGAGCTGCGAGGCCTGGGGATTTGTGTGTCTCCTTCAGCCCCAGGCTGATGCTGTGGTCCCCGAAACTCATGCTGGGAGTGTAGGGCTGCAGGAGGGACGCGAGGCTGGCTTTAGCCCTGGGCTAATTTCAGATTTTGTGGGTTCGTAGGCCTCACACCACTCTTTTCCTGGGTCCCCGAGCACAGGCGACAGCAGATTTCACAGCTACGACTGCCGAGGGTTTGCTGGTTGATGGCTGCGTTGTGCCTTGTGTCTGGGTGCTGAATCTGAACCGGGGCAGCCCTCAGGTCCTGCTAGCCCCAAAGCAAGCATTTAGTGCCTCACCCCGTGCAGTAGGCAGCTCCAGCTCAGGAGGGGAAGGCTGGGCTTATCGCTGGCAGCAAAACACGAGTTTTCAGGGGCTGTTTGAGCAAAGCGGCAGCCCTGCAGGCAGGTTTATGGCTGCAGGTCCCAGCCGGGGCCCTGCCAACACCACCCGGCCACCTCAGGCCCTCGGGGATCGTTGTCCGCGTGGAGCTAACCCCGCTTTCAGCACCGTGTGCCTCCCTCATCTGCTTCTGGTCCGCCACCCGGCTAACCTGCGCTCTCCCCCTCTCTCCAGGCGCCGTGCACCAGTAACCGCACCCCACGGCTGCGTCTTTCCACCAGCATGCCCCACTAATCTCTCCGGGACGGCCACCCCCTGCCCTTTTTGCTGCTCACATCCCCCCTTCTCCCAGCACCCAGCTCCCCGCTGCCGCTCGCCCCGTGTCCCACGCTGTCTTGTCTTTTGTCTCTCCCAGAGCCTGAAGGAAGGCCTGACCGTGCAAGAACGCCTGAAGCTTTTTGAATCCAGGGACTTGAAGAAAGACTAGCTCTACCCCGCTCCGCTTCACCACGCGCGCACCTCCCGGCTTGAGGCAGCACAGCACCAGCACCGTTTGTCTCTCGTTGCTCACGACCGTCCTCGCTGTCGTTCGGCCCCGATGCTTCCCGACGGCTCCGGGCACCGTGGCGGGTCCCCCCCCCACCCGCCACCCCCTCGCCTCCGCAGCTCCCTTCCCCGCTTGTGAGACGCTTCTGAGACTCTTGAGAGGGAGAGGAAGGGATTGGGGTGTGGTTGTTTTTTTTTGTGTTTTTTTTGTTTGTTTGGTTTTTTTTTGTGTTTTTTTTTTTTTTTTTTTTCCCTCTTCGGCGCTTTGTAGGAGAATCCTTCCTTTACTGTAAAACCATTACACTAAGTGTCAGTATTAAGGCTCAGTAGCCTGTGAATAAGCTAGCTCCGTCGTACCAACGTCTTGGTATGCGCGCAGGGCAGGGTGGCACGGGCCAGCCCGCGCTCTTACTGCTGTCAAAGAGACCCAGTGCTCAGAGCACACCGGGAGCCTAATCAGCCCTTGATCTCGACTGCATCACTTGCACCTACAAGGGGAGGGGGGAGAAAAGCCTGTGGGACTCCGCCGGGGGTGCGCGAGCGGCCTGCAGGAGCCACGCTGACGCCAGGCCGGGAGAGGATGGAGAGGCGACTCCTGCCCCCGGCCGTGCCGTGATGGTGGCGATGCCCGAGCCCGGCGAGCTGCGGTGCCTCGGCGGGTGGTTTTGGGTAGGGAGCTGCTCACGGGCACCGTGACGGCGGCCCCTCGGCCTCCAGCCCCCCCTCGCCAGCGGTGGGAGGGAGGCGTTGCTGGGGCTGCGCCGCGAGATCACTTTCTTGCCTCCCCTCGATCCAGCCCAGCACTCTCTGTTTTTTTTTGCTGTTACTCCCTCTCGTTGAGTCCCGTGTATCCTAGGGTCTGTGCGCATGTGAAACTCCCTTTTCCAAGTCAAAGGAAAGTAGAGTAGAAAGTAGAGCCAATATTGACTGAAAAATGCACAGTGCTCGATGCATATAATGCTCCTTTTTTATCGGCTTCTTGAATTCAACTCTTCTTGTCAGCAGGGCAGCTCCTATTTTAATTCCTTAATCTTTTCCTGAAATAAAAATCTCAAAACCAGTATGTGCTTCAGACCTTCTCAGTCACAACAGCTTTTGTGTTTAGAGCAGACACTTTAGCACCACGAGGCCAATAAGTGGGTGCTCGCTGAGTGGAGAGAGCATGTAGTGCTAGAGGCCGCACGCAGCCAGCCCACATCACGGTGGCTTTGTGCTGGGTGAAGAGAGATCTCGGCGTGCTTACAGCTGTAGGCTCATTTAGGATGGCAAAGACTTCTGAGATACCCATGGAGATCCCTGGTCCTGCCACCCAGCCAGGAGCAGGGCTGAAGCATCGCTCTGTCGCTTCCCAGTGATGTGGCCACCAAGCAACCCGCATCACATCGGTTTTCAGAGATTTTGGAGGTGAAACCAAGCTTTCTGTTGACTTCTGTGTGCTTCACCCGGGGTGAAGCAGGCGGATCTGGGCTTTTATGGCTAGTTCAGGTCCCTGTGGGCACGGTGCTCCGGCCAGCTGGGAGGTCTGAGCATGAGGAGAAAGCTCTCGCTGCTGGCAATGGGTGCGCTGCGGGTCCCAGCGGTGCCACCGGTGCAGGGCAGAGGCAGGGCTGTACGGGGATGCTCTGCTGCTGTGATGCTCTTTAACTCCATGCCTGGGTGCGTGTGGACATCCTGGAGACAGGAGCAGGGCAGGAGGGACCCTCGACCGCTCAATACGAAGGCTCTTCCATCTTCAGGCCCTCTCTGATGTTCTGGTGTGCAGCCACTCGCCCTAACCTGAGCTCCTTGTGGTGTTCTCCATCATCTGAGCGTCGGAGGAGCCTTGGCAGCCTCGTGTCAGGGCAGTTCCTTGTCCTTCCAGGCCAGGAGCTGGCCCAGGCTGGACCTTCCTGAACCTCCTCTCTGGTCCCCATCCATCAGCTGCTCCCAGGCATCTCAACGCTTCTCTTTTGCTCTCACCCATCAGCCTGACGGAGTCCTCCCGGCCCACCATCGAGGAGCATGGCCAAGGCACCCAAAACTACTCATCAGCAGCGTCTCAGCACGGTGGGAGCCCAAGTGATGGAGCCCTGGTGTGGAAGTGGTCACCGTAGCGCTGTCCTGGGCGCACCACGCTGAGCTAGCCCATGGCCACTTACAGCACGGACTGTTGTTGGTAAAACCACGTGTTGGTAACACATAACAGTGTTTTTTTATAGCCATGGCACGGGGTTATCCTGCTTCCCTCCCAGCTGAGGTGGCCGGTGCAGCTCTCCACAGCTGCACCCTTCCCAAATTCATCTTTCTCCTGTTGAAGGGTGCGTCCGCTGGGCTTCAAAGTCCACATCTGGAAGAGCGGCTTTGTCATCAGTCATACGTGTGAGTTTTTTTTTTCCTCTCTCTGCCCGCATCTTGCACTTGAGTGCAGGGAGAGGTCTGATTCCCCAGCACAACCCCACGGTGCCCGCAGCAGCTGGGAGCCTGGCACCTCAAGGGGCAGCCACCACCAGTTCTGAGCACTCTTCGAGCTAAACCAGGGGCGCTGCCACCTGTCTTGCAGGACCAGCAGAGATGTCAGTGCTGTGGCCCAGGTTCATCTGAAATCAGGCTGTGTCTTGGTGGGAAAGCGACTACCCACTGCCTACAGCTCATACACCTTCTGCCCGTGTCAGGAGGTGGCTGCCTGGCCGTGGTGCCTCTCCGGCTCCTTTCCAATGTCACTTGTCCAACTCTCAGTGAAGACAACCTTTGGATTTCGTCTCTGGCTGCCCCAGGTTTGGTCGGGTTGTGCTTTGCTCTCAGGTTGTTTTCATGCCCTGCGATCTCCTGGGATGAGGAGCTAGGATGGTGCAAGGCTTCGTCTCTGTCACTGCTGTCCCTTTCCAAGGCTCTGCTGGATGCAGGAGGACGCACACCTCCTCCTCCTCCTCTTCTCTCAAGAAGTGTGGTGGGACTTTGTCCTTCTCAGCCAACCGAGCAGAACGTGCTGGGCTCCATCTCACCACGTGGACTCTGCCCGTTCTTGTGTGCCCTAGGAAAATCTTTGCTGGCTTCAGGACCTTGCTATCCAGCTGCATTTGCCTGTCGGTGGTGTGGAGGACGCAGGATGGACCCTTTCCAACACCAGTTCATGCCACTGAGCACCTTGACACTCCCCAAAGAGGGTCACTTTCTTCTGTGCACCTGATCACACCCAAAAACCCTCTCCTGCAGCTTAGCATCCTGCCTTGGGGCTAGGTATTGAGCTGAGGAAGAGCATTTCCTTGCTTCGCTGCTTCGATCCCTATTTCTGGACGTAGAGAATGGTTTGGAAATGTGGCGATGTGACCCAGAGCGTGGCCAGGCAGGAGGGATGGTGGTCAGTGTGGGGAAGCTGATGGCAAGTGGGGACCATTCCTGGACTTTGGCTCAGCATGTGGAAACACATTAATACGATTTGGAAAAAAAACAGGCAAAGTGGGGCAAAAAGGTGCTGCAAGGTGCAAGCACTTGGGCAGAGGGCTGCGGGAAGGCAGAATGTGATGCGGTGGCCGTGCAAGCTGAATTGCTCTGTGTAGAGATGCTAAGAGGCGTTCTTCCTTTTTATACACACATAAAAACATTTGGAGTAACCCAACAGTGTTAGGGGGCAGGAGGACAGCAGTGGGAGCGCCGTGTGACGGAAGGAGGGGAGGCACCAGCCTCCGACGACTCTTTTTGTGCTTATAGCAATGCCTAACAAGCCAAATCAATTAGTTTTATCGCTTAATTTTGTGGCTTTAAAATATCTATCCCTAAGCAAAGGGCTCTTTTATGAACGTACTGGTGGTGGGCTTCGGTGCTGTACCTTTCGGGAGCAGCCGTCTCCCACTGGGGAGTTAAAAAATAAATAAATACAAAATAAAGGAGAATGCTGCGAGGGCTGGGGTCAGAGGCTGAGAAGTGGCCTCGTGGTGTCCTCGGGATCCACTTCACTCTCCGGGACAGCACTTCAGGGGATGGGAACGCTGAGTACAAGTGCTTGTGGCGGGAGCTGAGCTCTGGAGGTCACGGAGAAGAGGAAGAGGAAGGGGAGGAGAGAAGAATGCATGCAGACAGGGCTTCTGACCGGCTGCTGCAGGCTGTGCTCCAGGTTTCGGTCTTTATTTGCTGTGTGGCAACTACCAAAGCATCTCCCCGAAGCAGGGGGCAGTTCGTTACCTGCCTTCCCGTTAACAAGAGAGGACCAGAGGCACCAACAACAGCCAAAAATGGGGTTATTTCTGCAGAGCGCAGTGCTTTGCTGAAAAGAAACAAAAAAGATAATCAAGAAAGATCGTTTTGCTGGTAGTGACGTTCCTTAGTTAGCCTATTTCTTCCTGCTCCAGGCTTCATCCATCCTCCGAAGTAAATCAGTGGCCACGTAAATGAGAACAGGGAGCGGTGGGCGCGCTCCCGGCTTGCGCCCGCAGTGCCACGCGTGCCGTGCAAGCTGCTGCTGCCTTCTGCACAACGCTGCTCATAGCACCAAGTGTGAGGGCTAGGAAAAATGCAGCAAAGCTGCAGGGCTGGGCAGCTTGGAACTGGCTACCCGGCCTTTTTCTTTGCCTTTTTTTGCAAAAAAAATTCCCACCCTTTGCACCGTCTTCCCCCAAACCGGTCTTTTTCTATGTGACCTTCCCTTTGCCCACCTATAAAATAAGCAAACGGCGTTACTTTGAAACTAGACTAGCGTGTGGCTTTGCAAACCAGAAAAAATAAAAAAATCTGTTTGCTTTCAGTAACAGAGGGTGACAGGAATGCGTTCGTGGTGTCCCCTCCCTCCTGTAACACCGCCTCACGTTTGCACCAGCCCTGTGCTCGCCTGGACTGCCACCAGACTGCTGCATTTTTTCGTGGTTCAGATGCAGGACGTAGGTTGTTGTGAACACTTAAGCACACGCACGCTCGGCGTAGCTTGCCTTTCCTCTGCAACCTTTTCGATTTTTTTTTTTTTTAAAAAAAAAAAAGCTTTGTTATTCTCTTTTAAACAGAAGTAATTTAAAACCTGTATAGTATTCCAGGCACGCCATGTAAATATTTATTACTCAGAACTTAGTGGAGGGTTCTCTTTTTGTGACTACGTCGTGGTTTTGGTTTTTAACTCTTGTTCTAACACCGCCGTCCCGCCGGGGGGCTGGAAGAGGCGCGTTGGGTGCGATGTGCCCACCCCACCCTGCCTGCCCGGAGAGACTCTTTGCTTTTGAGGACTGTTATAAATATCTTTTCCAAGGTTTTCTGCTGACCTGTACCTTTAGTTTTGACGATACGTGTCCAAAGATTGTGTACAGCCTGTTTGAGACCTGTAACCTTCCTGCGCTATAAACTTTTTTTTTTCCATTCGGAGCACTCGGTGAGCTTGTATTTGACGGTGGCACCAACACCGTGCGTGTGCCAGCGGCCAGCTGGAGGAGCAGTGAGTGCCGTGCGGTGCAGCCCGAGGACTGTGCATTAAGGCACTGGTGCTGTTTTTGGGTGCTCAGTGAGGTGCCGTGGGGTGGACAGACCCCCACGTACCCCTGTGCAGACACACAGCCTGGAAGCGCATGCTATCTTGCAGCAATTTTAAGCCAAATGCTTAAAGCTGAATGTGATTTTAAGTCAAATTGAGTTCCCACAGAGCACAAACCCTTTCTGACCTAGGGATGCAGAAGTGCAGGGGCAGAATGGGGTAGGGTGGGGTGGCCCCACTGCAGCTGCACTTTGAGACTACTGAAAGGAACCCAGGGTGTGGGAGCTGCTCGCAGGAACCAGATAAGCCAGTCAAGTTGGTAGCGACCTGAGCTAAGCCAGCTGGCCATGAACTGGTGAATAATTAGTGCAATTACCAACAATTATTTTCTCATTCTTCCTGCTTGCTTCGCACGCTGATTGTGTGCAGGATGTGAGGAGAACACTAACGCTTTGTTCTAAACTAGAGAGAGCAAAGTATGTCGTAAATACTAAAGGTGATGGAAGGTAGGCGAGAGATAAGAGCGCTTGGTCTTTGACCCACGCGCACCTCCTGGGACCTGGTGTTCTGGATGTCTCCAGATTTTAAGGGATCGTTTATTCGGAGGGATAAAGTTTTTAGGGAGAGAGAAGGGGACGCTGCAAGTCTTTGGGTGGTAACAGAAGTGGCAGTGGCCGTTCACGGTCAGTACTAGCGGTCGGTCCTTCCACTGACCTGATCAGAAGTGAAGGCTGCCCTCAGCTGTGCTCCAGCACACCTTCAGCCCCCGAAAAGCAGCCTGAGGGGACGCACACACCACGCTCCACCGCCTGCACTCGGGGTCCTCTGCCCTCCTCCTGGAAATGACAAAAAGGGCTTCGTGGCCCCAAAAGCAGGAGCTGAGCACACAGTACATTTTCCAGGCGCAGCAGCCAGCTCGCCGCCTCCAACCTGTGTTTGGCTGAGCAGCAGCGACCCTGGCGCTTGCAAGAAGCCCCCGTGCAGTTGGGGATGCTGCAGCCACAGCGCTGCTGGAAAACTCCACGGCTCAAGGCCAGCAATGGTCACAGCAGGAGGCAGGGAAGCACGGCTGTGCTGAAGCCCCGTCCGTCTGCAGGTCCGAAGGGCCTCTCTCCAGGGGCGTTTCTTGCATGAGATCCATCCAGGAAACGAGACGTCGCACGCGATTAATTCCCCTCTGCTACAGGGGGGTGGATGTGTGCTTGAGGCTCCTGCTTCTCGGTGTGCGTGAGTCCCCCTCTGCTTCTCTCCTCTCTTCCACCCCAGTTTATTCCATTGCTTTTTTTAAGAGCCACTGCTCCTGGTAACTTCACTGTAATAGAAACGTCACTTTTTTTTTTGTCACTGTATTTATTCCTTACAAAATCTCGTGTGTCGTGCTAGGTTCCCATGGATGTAGCTGATCATTTTAATTTTGTAAATATAACTACCTAACTTTACATAAACGATATCGTAATAAACTATTTTTGCACCACCCTTCGCATGCTGTGTCGTGAGGTGTTTGTTTCAGCAGGGATGCTGCTACAGAAAGAAAGAAGCAGAGGACAGAGCTTGAGCACACTTCACTTTTATAGTCATACTTCACAAACCAAATGCAACAGGTATCATTTGAATAACAATAAAATGTTTAAACTAGCATAAATATAACGCTGTTTAACTGGATTTACTACAGAATGAACTTTTTCAGCTTCTTCCTAGCCGCTACACCGGAGATAATAGCCACACGTGGATTTTTCCCCAGAACCATGCCTACTTTCTCAAACAGAACAGGGCAAATCTGCAATCTGTAGCTGTTATTCCACATACACTAAATAACACATAAGGATCTTCTGGCATTTTCAATTATTTGAATCTTTAAATCAACCAACCCACAAGAACTGGAGTACAAAAAAAAATATCAAAATGATGTTGATCTTGTGTGAGAGAATGGTGTATTTAACACTGCCAGTCCCAGCAGTACCATATCCAGCACTACTGATTACAGAAGGTTAAGACCCTTTATTATTTTGAGAGATTTCAAATCACTTTATATTCCGTATAAAGTAGTTCTTACACAGACAGTTGACTACTCAGAGTTTGGAAATTTATCCCAAGTTTCCACCCACCTTTGTTTCCCCTTAAATTCTAGGGAGGGAGATTGTTCAGCCTCAAGCTGGGACAGTACGTTTAGACTGGCAGGATTTGCAGGGAGCAGTTTAACCTCTTACTAGACCAGCTAATACAGTCAGATTAAAACAGAGATGTTTCAGATTTGGATGGTCAAACACAGACATTCTATTCCCACCACTTTCAATGGTCTAACAAAAGACAAACCCTAAATTCTCTCTCCAATTTGGCTGCCTCATCCCCAGCAGACAGCTGATGTTCTGCTCCCTCTGCTGGCAAGGGCTCAGTCTGACCTGGCCCTGCTGTCCCCAGGGCTCACCTTGCCTTCCTCTCACTGCTCCCTCCTCATCCTCTGCCCTGCTGCTGCCAACACCAGTGGCCACGGTCACCGAGCCAGAGCAGGACACCATGTCCTGCTACCTGCATGGACAGGGCTTCCCTCCGCCTCTCCTCTCTGAAGCCGGTGACCCACCTGCAGCTGTGTTTGCTTTTAGGACAGGACCGGCTGCTCCCGCAGAGCATTTTCTCTCCGTTTGTGCCGGAGGCTCCTTGCTTGCTGGAAGATGAGCTGACCTTGGGATCTGCTCTCACACATTTACACTCTACTTAATCTTAAACCAGAGCAAACACATACACAGTCAAAACTATTTCCCAGATTCCCTTTCACAAACTTTCAACAATTAATGTCAACGAAAGAAATGCAACTGAGGTGCTCACTCTCTCTGTACAAGCCCCAGCTTTGCTACAGCCCTCTGGACCCTTCCTTCAGTTACCAACACAGGGGAGCTGTTGGGGTAAAGCTGGTAAAACTCCATCCTGCAGCGTGACGAGTTGAAAAACACCCATCTCACTGCTCAGGTCCCCAGTATGGTACAAATGCCATCTCACCTGCCCCAGGGCACAGCACGGAGCCTGTCTGAAGCTTTAAGCTCCGTGGACTGAGCCCGGTTGCAGCTCTCCTCACAGAACAACTCACCATCAGCTGGGTCACTCCTGCTAACGTAGCACACGAGGGACCTGTGGCACTTTAGGGTAGAGAGCACTTCACTTCTGGAGGAGCCTAACTAAATTACAACCAGATGGGGAATACAACGATGCCTAGCCACAATAACCCCCTGAATGCCATCTGCTCAATACTCCTCCAGCCCAGGGAAGCGGCTCAATCATTTATTTTCTTTGGAAAAAAACATGTACTTGAGGGGATCGTAGAATTCCCAAATCCTTTCGAACTCCTCCAGGAAAGGCTGCACGTACTCGGCGTCCTCCATGATCAGGATGTTCTCCCGGTTGTTCTGGATCGCCTCCGTGGTCCAGTTGAGGGAGCCCGTGATGACCATCTTCCTGTCCACGATGGCGAACTTGTGGTGCATGAAGCCGCTCTCCTGGTCATGCCTCACCTGGATCCCTACAAAAACACAACGGGGAACGGCTGACAGCCACCGACGCTCCCTCAGTGGGGCCGCCAGGGCGGCTCCGAGCACACGGCGGGGCCGTGCGAGGCCTCGATGCCCCGCGCCTCACCGGCGTGCCGGAGGAGGCCGATCTGTGAGCCCTTCAGTGCCATGTACTGCGCATCCGTCACCACACGCACTCTCACGCCACGGCGGTGCAGGAGGCGGACGGCACGGCCGAGCTGAGGGCTGGAGAAGGCGAAGAGGCAGAGCTCGAGGGAGCGGCGGGCGGACAGGAGGTGCCGCAGCAGGCGGCTGAAGGCGCAGTCGCCTCGAGGCAGCGGGCAGGGACAGGGGACCGGCGTGTTGTCGGGGCTCTCCGCCTCAGCCAGCAGTGCCTCGGTGCAGCTGGGTTTGGAGGGGAAGAAGAGCACCTCGCGCACCGGCCGCCGCCTCCGGGCCACCAGCACCTCCAGGGCCAGGCCCAGCGCCGCCAGGGCCGCCAGCACCAGGCCTGGCCGCCGTGTCCCCGCCGCCCACATCGCTCCCTCGGTGCTTGCTCAGCTCTGGGGGCGGTGTGGGCCCTGCTGGATGCCCCCAGAAGCAGCCCCAAGCAGCCTGGTGTCCTTGTCTGGTGCCCTTGAAACCAAGCTCCCCCTCAGGCCACACAGCTGAGGCCCAACCCAAGCTCCAGCTGCCTGCACCGATATTTTTTTTCCCCTTAGGCTGCTGTGAGGTGGTTGAGGGGAATCAAAGCACAAAAAGCACAAAAAAGCTTTAGGTGTCAGCGTGGCCTTCATCACTTCATTGTTCCTGGGCAAGGGAAGTGTGCTAGGACCAGGAGAGGGCCTGCTTCCAAGGGTTTGCCTTCAGGGGGTGGTGCTTGAAGGGGAGGAGGGTGCTGAGAGGTGGCCTTCTCTGCTAATTAAGTTCACAAAGAGCGCTGTGCATGTTCCAGTTCCCACTGACAGAGAGATGAGTGCCCGTGGCCTAAGCCGTGAGCTGCAGGAACTTGCCCAGGCACTCAGCTGGGTAATCCCTGCACAGATCTGTCGTGGCAGGCACGCACCTCGGCTTCTATGCAAAGCAGGAGCCTGGGGTTCACAGGCTCCACAGACTGCCCCCTTCCTTCCTGGGGATGTTTTATGAGTGTTCTTATGAGTGTGAAGTCAGTGGGTTCCAGACCCTGGCTCACACACAGTACGTTATTCAGAGAGGCTGTGGTCATGTCTGTGTTACTGCCCCATTTCACAGCAGCAGAACGATGGATGTCACCTACCACTCGCACTGTACTCACCTGAAAGTAAAGCATAAAACCTCAAGCTCAACCTTATTATCACCCTTTTGCCGTTTCAGAAACAGCCACGCTTCTGTTTAGGATCTTCGATCAGGTGTTAATGAACAATCGTTGGAATAAGCTCTTTTTTAAGGAACAGAAGCAGTTTGGCAGGCAGGAAGGCCTAAATGCCAAATCATGTCTCACCTGTTACAGTATGTAACTCTGATTTGTAGCTGCATAGTTTTAACTTGGAAAAATAAAAAATACTGGATCATGTATAAGGTAGCCTCAAGAACAAGCACCAACCTAGCACTTGAAATCCCAATCTTTTGTAATTACTTCTGTCAGTTTTATTTCCTTATTTGTGAATTTTTCATCTTTATTTTTCCCTCAAGGACTAGATCCAGCACATAAGCAGCAAGATGTATAATACAAGGTTCCTTCCCTGTGGATAGAACCGGAGCACCTCTTTTCCCTTGTTTCCTTATTGCGGGTTGAGAAATGCAAGCTTTGTTGTGAACCTTGAAATTAAACACCTTTCTTCCAAGTAGGTTTGCTGTTTGAGCATCCCGTGGTTATGTCCAGTCAAGCATTTTTAATCAATATATCAGTATGTCTTGCTCAAAATATATTTAAAAAAAAAAAACCAAACACACAAATGCCTACAAAGTTAAGAGGAAAAGACCTGTTAAAGTGCTGTACATTAGATTCGGGCTAAGAGATGCAGGAACAATCTTGTGGATGAATTGTTCATCTTCTGGATGCTGCTTCTCCCACCCCAATACATGCACACAAATCAACACAAAATTAGGCTTTGTCCATTTTACAAAAATAGCTCTTACTGAGATTTAATGCTTGTCTCCATTTTACAGATGTTACAGACAAAAGCAACCTGCATATTTTATACATAAGAACAGAACTCATGACAAGTTCAAACACCCCCCTCTGAGCTTGATTCTTGTTTGAATGAGTGTAGTAGGTCACCTGGGTAAAAGCTGCTTCTAGCTTGTTAAAAACATTTATAGTAATGTCAAGTTTTCCCAACAATGATTGAGGAAAAAAAACATGACTTCACAACAGAAACAGTAATTCCTTACAATACAGTTAAAGAATGTCCATTTAGTTAATTAAAAAATGCACCAATGTTGTCTTGAACTATTAAGCATTCAAAATAGCTACTATAGAATTATATAAGAATGGAGCACCTACAGGTTGGATCTTTTCGGCTTAATTAGGAAGCTAGAAAACTATATCTGAGGACAGAACACCAGAGACCTTACCCTGGAGAGGTTAACTTCATTACTTGGAAGTTTTGCAACACAGGCAAAACAAGGCAAGTACTTCACCCTCTAGAGAGGCAAGCAGACTGCATTTTGAGACTTCTTGTATTACAGTTCTCCCTCCCAGACACGATTCCCAAAGCAAATGCTGAAAATGTCTCAAGTTAAGATATAAATAAATTAAAGCGGAGTGACGTGACTCCAACAGGATACTCCTGACTTAACGCTACAGCAGAAAATAGTCTCTTTGTAAATCTGAACGTGAAGTGGTTTTAAATAATTTACACGTGATCCATACCCTGTGACATGTCACTTATTTTTGGTTCTTTTCTCTCGGACATTTAGGAGACTTATGTGAGATTCGGAGAGATTAGCTACATCCGTTCCCAGGAGTTCTGGATGCTGCCACAGGTATCTGAGTCTTGCCAATGAAATCTAAAATTGATTAAGCACCATAATACTTTAGGATGACAGCACAGGATTTCAAATAATTCCCGCTGATTCTTTGAAAGTTGCTGTATTTTAGTCTTGAGTGTGCAGGTCTAGATTTAGAGTTGAGTTTCAGGACAGACAGCAGCAATATTTATTAGCACTTATTAGTCCAGTCTCACAGCAATTAGAAAAGACTCAAGTCACTCTTCAAGTTAGTTTTAGGACCACAAGAATAGTGATGAAATTTCACTATCCACCTAACACACATGCTGCAGGCTCAGCAGAGGTAACTTGGGGTTCCCTGCAGTTATCTGAAGGCAGCAAGTGAGGTTGGGCACCCTTTAGTTCCGGGACTCTGAGGACGTTGGGCTGCGAACTGTTGACATCAGGTGAGACTTGTAAGTCTTGCTCAGGCCAGTCATCCAGAACTTGAGAAGCTTGACATTGTCCTCCTCTGCAGCTCCCAGAATGCTCAACAGTTTTTGTGTGTCTTCCTTGGGTCTGCTGTCCACTTTAGTGAATTTAAAGAGGACCTTCACTTTACTGCAGGAAACAAAAACAAACTCCTGTCACTATTACAATAGACTTGCATGCATCAAGCAGGAAACAACCAACTGTAGCTTCTCTCAGTACCTACTACAACTACTTGTTTATAAAAACCTCAAACAATATTCCAAAGAAATTATTCTCAAGCTTTAAATGAAGAAATGGGGGAGAAGACGAATACAGGAAAAGGGGAGATTAGTTAAGGAGATTACTCGTTTCAGAAGTAACACACCTAACTCTGGTTTGATTTTTCATTCATGTGAAAAGTGAAATGATTAACTGTGACAACTGGGAATCTCCCTGCGAGGCACACATAGTGCCCATCTGGCCTTCATATAAATTTACAAAACCTGAATGTTTTGTGAATTATTTCACATGACTGTTTGGTCTTCCTTTATAACTGCTTGCATCTCTGAAACGTGGTGCCTGAGGGTGCAACCACGATATCTGTTTGGCATGTTATCTGCACTGGAATATAGTGTGCATTGACAGGCTTATATATATTTGCATACTTAATCCTCATAACGTATATAAGGCAGACAAGTATTGTCACGTAGGTAATCTCCAGATGCACGAACTGAAGCGTAAAGGTGAAGACCTGCTGAAAGCCAGAAAGAGAGGATCAGAGTAGAATAATTCCAATCTTGTCATGCTCCCAGCAGTAAAGTTGACTGCTCTCAAGACTAAGGTCAAGGTTACCTGACTAAAGGTTTGTCATGTACTCCGGTGTAACCATTCCAGGATTGACACCAGAACTGTTTCTCTGAAAGCAGAGTTGTACTTACTTCATCCACTCCTCCTTCAGGCAAACAAGGCACTGATCCACAACATCTACAGAAAGGTTCTGGTTGGTCAGAGCAGCTTCAATCTTGTTCAAGATTGTAGGGCCAACTACAAAATCAGAAAGGAGGGAAACAGGGTAAGAAACAGGACTCACATTTACAGGGTTACCCACTGAGACCTTCACTGGTAATAGCAGGGACAAGTCCATTTATCCTATGAGCTAGGCCTGAATACTTGCTAGGATACACAGCTGCTGGAGCACAGAAAGAAATCTAGAGGGAGTGAACCTTTGTTTTGCTTTGCACCTGTATCTTCAGCAGACAACGCAGAAAGGGTTAGCTATCTGTCCTATCTGTCAAAGATAGAGGCCAACGTATCTAAATTAAGACTTCTCATTAAATCAAGATTGATGGACCCGACTGGAATCACATCTAGATGCAAGCGTTTAAGTTCTTGAACAAAGAAGGCAAGAAAAGGTCTGCCATTTCTCCTACTGATCTATCAAGCAGAATATGGGAGATGATGAGTAATGCCATGGCCTTTATGTGTTTAGCAGATTAAGCTGAACTGACTCAAAAAAAAAAACAAAAACCAAAAAACAAAACAAAACAAAAAAAAAAACAGAAAACCACAGACAGGTACTTCAGGATAGAAAGTGTTCATCATGGGTTACAGAAGAGTTTCCCTACAATTGCTACTGTGTCCAGGTCACAGAATTGGTTTTTCACTTCTGAAAATTAACAAGCAAAACACCGATTGGGTAAAGCAAACCCTTTTTAATTAAGCAGACTGTGGTAGTAGTAGCAGTAAATTCTCAACCCCAGTTGTACAGTGACCCAGCTTTCTACTCAGACAGTACATGAATGGCAAAAAAATGCAGTTAAACATCAGGATGCTCATTTTAATCTCAGGGATATGAGTTTCTTCTGCTTTCAAAGCACTCACCTCGATCTGCTGCGACAGGGCTACCGCTGGTGACAACAAACTCGTACTTGTTGAGGGACTGCTCATCATCAAACAGAGTTGGGTAGAGACTGGACCGCGTAGCAGAGCGAACTTCCACGAGGACTGCAAACTCTGGAGCAAGAAAAGCCCAAAAGAACATTAACTGTAATAGCTCTGTTTCTAAAACACAGCTACAAACTCTGCTCCTGGAAAACACAGCTCTGGTAGCTTACAACACTTGGTCCAGCAAGAGCCTTTGCTGTAATCAGTAGGAAGCAGGACTTTCAGCTTTGGTACAATGAATGCTCATAGGTGTCACACCTTTCAACTACTGACCATGCAAGCATATAGGGAAAATAAAGGAAGTGCTACAGGTTTTAGTTCATGCAGCATTTTTAGACCATCTGCTAATACCTTATAAAAAACACAATGCCTTGGTAGTTTGCTTTTTTAGGTTAAAGAGAGGGTTCTGCTACAGGTTCTTACCAGATGATAATATGTGGGATGGGATTTGGACATGTGGACTAAGCCCTAAGAAGTTACATCGATATGCCTCTTCATACTGGTCACTGTAGGGGAT